GGCTGAGAACAAGGTGATAACAGGTGGGGACAGGTACAGGTGGTGGTGGTGGGGATAGGTACAGGTGGTGGTGACAGGTACAGGTGGTGGTGGGGCTAGGGGTGGGTTGGTAGATACAAGTGGGGCGGGGTATGGGGCATCTGGCTGAGAACAAGGTGAGAACAGGTGGGGACAGGTACAGGTGGTGGTGGGGACAGGTACAGGTGGTGGTGGGGCTAGGGGTGGGTTGGTATATACAAGTGGGGCGGGGTATGGGGCATCTGGCTGAGAACAAGGTGATAACAGGTGGGGACAGGTACAGGTGGGGACAGGTGGTGGTGGGGACAGGTACAGGTGGTGGTGGGGCTAGGGGTGGGTTGGTAGATACAAGATGGGGCGGGATATGGGGCATCTGGCTGAGAACAAGGTGAGAACAGGTGGGGACAAGTGGTGGTGGTGGGGACAGGTACAGGTGGTGGTGGTGGGGACAGGTGGTGGTGGGGACAGGTGGGGAGATAGGTACAGTTGGGGATAGGGGTGGGGACAGATGAGGCAAGGGGTGCGATGGTACATGGGGACAGGTGGGGGCTGGCGGTTGTGTGGTTCGTAGGGGTATAGGAGCATTCAGCGTAGACCATTTAATAGGGCATCTAGGCTAGACATTAAAACGATAATACGTAGGGATCGAAAAGGACATTGATGGAATTTATTCAAGACGCAAAAGGACAATTAGTTGTGAAAAAAATGGAAATTTTATTTAGACAGTAAAAGGACAATTATTTGCGTCTAAGAAACCAAATCAAGACAACAAAAGGACAAATATTTTTGAGAAAAACTGTTTATAAAAATGGGAAATAACTCCAGTTGACTTTGTTCTTTGACCAGATTGTCCACAGAGATCTGGCAGCTCGCAATGTGTTGGTCACTGACAGGGGCGTGTGCAAGATCACAGACTTCGGGCTGGCTCGATGTCTGGGGGACACTGACCACTACGACAAATCGTCGAAGGTTCGTGAATTGGTTAAATTATGGTTAAATGGTCAAAGGTTCGTGAATTGGTTAAATTATGGTTAAATAGTCAAAGGTTCGTGAGTTGGTTAAATTATGGTTAAATAGTCAAAGGTTCGTGAGTTGGTTAAATTATGGTTAAATAGTTGGCTCGATGTCTGGGGGACACTGACCACTACGACAGATCGTCGAAGGTTCGTGAATTGGCTAAATTATGGTTAAATAGTCAAAGGTTCGTGAGTTGGTTAAATTATGGTTAAATAGTTGGCTCAATGTCTGGGGGACACTGACCACTACGACAGATCGTCGAAGGTTCGTGAATTGGTTAAATTATGGTTAAATAGTCAAAGGTTCGTGAGTTGGTTAAATTATGGTTAAATAGTTGGCTCGATGTCTGGGGGACACTGACCACTACGACAAATCGTCGAAGGTTCGTGAATTGGTTAAATTATGGTTAAATGGTCAAAGGTTCGTGAATTGGTTAAATTATGGTTCAATCGTCGAAGGCTCGTAAACTCCATTGGTTAAATTATGGTTAGATCGTCAAAGGTTCGTGAACTGCAATGGTTTAAGGTAAATTATGTTTTCAGTTATTCGTCGAAGGTTCACTAACTTCATTAGTTTGATTATTGTTTGATCGTCGGTTTTTTAACTTGTTTTACTTATAGTCGCGGAAGAAACTCCAAACTTGCTCTAGTTCAGTTGCCACATAATTTGGCCAGAAAATAATTGTTTTATCTGTAGAAAACAAGCATATGTCAATTTGGTGGCTTTAGCAATTGGTTAGAATATTTAAACTAAATATTATGTTTCAATGCATCATATTGTGAGTTTGTGTGGGACGACGTGGTCGAATGGTAGAGCGTTGGAGGCCAGCCCCAAAGTCTCGAGTTCGGTCCTGGTTTTGATTAATCCACCAAGCTCTGATGGGTACCAGACAATACGTTGGGCATAGTGCTGACCACGCCATCCCTTCATATGCCGAAGTCAAGAAACATGAACCCTAGTTCATCTACACAATGGATCGCTACGTCTAAAGAAAGTATTTTTTACTTTCTTTATTGCTAGCTGGTGGCAAATCCCAATGCTGATTCACCTTGCTATGGCTTACATTATTAGGACTAGGACATTGATTCCTTTGTAGAATCTTCCAACTGTGTTTTATTCGTTTCAAGCATTAATTTTCATACTTCGTTTTAGATTCGAACCCGTTACCGTTAAAGCGGCGTAGGTGAAGTAGATTATAACAGAAGTGGTAGGTGAATGATAAATCTAGTTTAAAACAAGTGTTTTTCTAAACTTGACAGGGCCCACTGCCGGTTAGATGGTTGGCACCAGAAAGTTTGATTGACAGAACACACAGCACTAAATCTGATGTCTGGGCCTACGGTATTCTTCTGTGGGAGATTGTTACGCTAGGTGAGTTCATAGGTTTACATTAGTAGGGGGGGGCGGGGTTGGGGGGGGAGGTTTTATGTAGTGAAGGGGGTGAGTGTTGTTGTTACTTGGTACCCTATCCCGAAGTCCTTGTTCAGTTCTCGTGCTGTGAGTTGTAATACTCCGGTTTGTACCAGTTTATGAAAGGGTATGTAAGGTGTATGAAAACGTGTGTGATGGCCTCAGTTTTGTCCAGGTCTCCAAGGTTAGTACAGGTTAGGTTTATACTAGTTTTTAGCCACTGTATCTTAGTTTACTAGCTTGTGTATTTTCTGTTTAAACTAGACTGTGTTAGGTGTAGATAGTGTATATAAATTCTTTTAGTTTCAACGAGCCTTTGTTTCAGTCTTGTTTTATAACCCGTTTGTGGTTGTTTGTCTTATGTGTTGCGCTACGCATCGGATCTCCCGAATGGCATGTCCGTGTGTTCACAACAGTGTACTTTACGGTGTTGGAGGGGGGGGGGGGAACTATCTTTGGGTGAGTCTATTGTTTTACTTTAGTTTGGTAGTAGGGGGCTACTGTATGGGTTTGGAGGGGGGGGGGTGTAGATTGTAAATCTCGGCAAATTCATTAAGCAGGCGCATGTAACCTTCACCTTGAATGTCTTGCAACCAACAGTCTGATTGCAAACTATACACTTTTGTGTTGATAGATGGGGTCGGAGCGAACTTTCTAGATAGCAAACAAATACAACAAAATAGCATTAGCTTCCTACAACATTGTGTCATGAAGAATGGCTTCACAAAATGTGTACATTAATACTATTATGTTAATACACGGGATACCGTGATGGGTCTGAATAGATCCGCCTTCAAGATAAAATAAACAGTACCTGTGATGTAAAAGATACTGGGTGAACCTGGCAATAGGGCTGGTAAGTAGGTCACCAACCAGTTATATGGCTCATGCAGGTTTTATTGAGCCGTAGAACTGGTTGGTGACCTACTTACCAGCCCTATTTTGTTCCAAATGTCCACTCTATATTTTATTTTCTTGTACCACACCCACCCCACGCACCCCAGACCAAGTTGACAAAATATCGATCTAAAGAGTTTGATTGATTGATTTCAGGTGCCAGTCCTTACCCCGGGTTGTCTGCCCATGACGCCTTCAAGTTTGTTAGCGCTGGCAAGAAAATGGAGAAACCTCAGCACTGCAGTTCTGACATGTACATAACTTTAATCCTAACCACACAATCGACAACACACACATCCACTTTGACAACTAAAAACCCACTCAGCTAGAGAAATTTTGACAATTCCACATCAATTACGACAGCAACAAAAGAGTTCCACACAACCCCCACCCTCTACATAACTCACCCCAATGTATAATCCCACCCACTCACAACCCCACACAACTCAACTCCAACAATCCCACACAAAATCCCACCCCACACAATTCCATCAAAACAAACCTACCCCCACAATCCCACACAACTCACCCCCATACATAATCCCAACCATTCACAACCCCACACAACTCAACTCCCACCCCCACACAACTCAACTCCCACAATAAATCCCACCCCCACACAATCTCCCACCCCCACACAAACTCCTACCCCCACACAATCCTACAACTCAACTCCAACAATCCCACACAATCTCCCACCCCCACACAATCCTACAACTCACCTCCCACAATCCCACACAAAACGCCACCCCAACTCCCCCATAACCAACCAACTAACCCTAACCCTCCCTGTCCACAGATACGAGCTCATGTGCAGCTGCTGGTCCTTCCTCCCAGAGAACCGTTCAACGTTTGATGCCCTGTATCGCAGGTTCGAGACTCTGCTGGAAAAAGAAAAAGATTACATCAATCTGGAACTATTCCAGAGCGAACAGTACGCTTGTCTGGATGCGGACATATTGGATGAGAAGTTATAGGACATAAAGCTGGTTGGATGAGAAGATATAGGACATAAACCTGGTTGTATGAGAAGATATAGGACATAAATGAGAACATATAGGGCATAAAGCTGGTTGGATTAGAAGATATAGGACATAAAGCTGGTTGGATGAGAAGATATAGGACATAAAGCTGGTTGTATGAGAAGATATGACATAAATGAGAAGATATAGGGCATAAAGCTGGTTGGATTAGAAGATATAGGACATAAAGCTGGTTGTATGAGAAGATATAGGACATAAATGAGAAGATATAGGGCATAAAGCTGGTTGGATTAGAAGATATAGGACATAAAGCTGGTTGTATGAGAAGATATAGGACATAAATGAGAAGATATAGGGCATAAAGCTGGTTGGATTAGAAGATATAGGACATAAAGCTGGTTGTATGAGAAGATATGACATAAATGAGAAGATATAGGGCATAAAGCTGGTTGGATTTGAAGATATATGACATAAAGCTGGTTGGATTAGAAGATATAGGACATAAATGAGAAGTTATAGGACATAAAGCTGGTTGATTGAGAAGTTATAAGACATAAAGCTGGTTGATTGAAAAGTTATAGGATATAATTTATAAAGCTGGTTGGATGAGAAGTTATAGGATATAAAGCTGGTTGATTGAGAAGTTATAGGATATAAAGCTGGTTGATTGAGAAGTTATAGGACATAAAGCTGGTTGGATGAAAAGATATCGGACATAAAGCTGGTTGATTGAGAAGTTATAGGATATAAAGCTGTTTGGATGAGAATTTGTAGGACATAAAGCTGGTTGGATGAGAAGTTATAGGATATAAAGCTGGTTGCTTGAGAAGAAATAGGATATAAAGTTGGCTGGATGAGAAGAAATAAGATATAATGCTGGCTGAGTGCAGACATAATAGATAAGTTATAGTAGAATGACTGGGTTATATTAACTGACAGTTGAAGTCACCTAAGAGATCCCGGATGTTACATAACTTACTTGGATTTTGCAGCTAACTTTTTTTTTAAAACCCGAGAAAGTCGATTTAAAAACGAATCAAATCATTCTTCGCAGTGATCTCGTGCAAAATGTTTTTGTTTACACAAGTATTAGACATGCTGACAAGTATAGGGCTGGTAAGTAGGTCAATAAATAGTTCTATGGCTCATGCAGGTTTTATTGAGTTGTAGAACTGGTTGGTGACCTACTTACCAGCCCTATAGTAAGGATCGTCCAGACGTGTATGTTTCATTACATACCTACAAGACATTTGAAACCTACCCCATACTCCACAGGACGTTACAGAACAAATATGTTCATAAACCCCCCCCCCCCCCCCAGCCTCATCACGAACAAAATGTAAACTCAGTGCTTTGCAATTTATGTGACCATATAAATGAATTACAAGAATCCCATTTTTTAGGAAATATTTTATTAAAATAAGACTGTTTTGTAATAATATTCATTATACAACTGTCTGTTGATTTAAGCAAAAGAAACAATAACCTAAATTAATAATTGTAATGCATTCAATGATAAAAATAGATAATAATAAATGCAATCTTTTGTAGTTTAGATATTAACGTCAATAAAACATTAAAATTTAATAACTATGAATATAAACACACCTAACTTTATATACAAACATTGTATTCAATAAAAACATTGCAACCATCCATTGTTTGCAGTTGTGTTGTCATGTTATAGTGATGCCTTGTATTCTATAGAACTGTTTTCATCGTTACTATGGACTTATAGTAACTACTTTTACAAATGCTGCCGAGTGTATGGCTTGTAAGACATGTTCTCTCTCACTGTTATTTGATATCTCGCTAGCCAGGGAGAGGTGTGAATTTTCGAACTGAATTTTCTCTTGTGATCATGGTTACCATTATTAACAAACAAAAAAAAAATGGGGTAATTTGTTTCTAGGTCTCGCCTCAAGATTTTAAAATACCAAGAGTGCATAAAAGAAAAAAGAATTGCGCAGCAAGTGAACGGAAAAAAATATTTAAATAATAGTGCGGAAAACTAGTACTTCATTAATTCATATGCGTTTTTTTAGAAATCGGAAATAGCGTAAAGTTTTACTTCCGGTCAATGAAAATTACTCAAAATTTGAAAGAAAGCAGAGAATTAGATCTTTTACGTTTAAGTGAAATTTCGTTTCTCTATGTGAAACAGTACTCAAGTTATGTTTGCGTTTTTGTTTGTGGTTAGGGTTAATTAAAAAGGTAATATATATATTAAATCCGGGCTATGCCGGGTATATGCTGAACACAACACACAAGTCATAGGGGGGGCGGTAGATGCATGGAAAAAATTCTGGTGCCTGGCCGGCTAGTTTATAATTATTTATATATATATATAAATATAAATATATATGTTAGAGGGATTTAGTTGTTCGAGAAAGAGGGATCATCTGCGATCGCACTTCTGACACCAAAATGTAAGGGGAGGGTTGTTTTTGTTAACCGATTAAAAGAGAGACATGGTAAGATGGTATTGACCATTATTCTCTCAAATCCGTGCACCTTTGCGTGGTGACAAAGGAGTCTAATAGACCTGAGCAAACCTATTTAACATCTAAACAAATACAACATTAATTTTACACTAAAAATAAAACTTGGCAAACACCCAGTTAATGCATTTATTTTGTCTTGAGCACTTATATCGGGAGCCAATATGTCGGGAGCCGCTTTATTTTAGAAACATTTATGGCCATCATCACATTCATCTGGCTTATCTCCAGTATGAACTTTTCTATGTTTCCTTAAATGAGAATTCAGAGAAAACTTTTTATGACAAACATCACATTCAAATAGTTTATCTTCTGAATGAACTCTTTTGTGTTTATATAAACTAGAACTCTGAGAAAACTTTTTATGACAAACATCACATTCAAATGGTTTATCTTCTGAATGAACTCCTTTGTGTCTATATAAACTAGAACTCTGAGAAAACTTTTTATGACAAACATCACATTCAAATTGTTTATCTTCTGAATGAACTTGTTTGTGTGCATATAAATTAGCACTATGTGAAAACTTTTTATGACAAACATCACATTCATATGGTTTATCTTCTAAATGAACTTTTTTGTGTGTATTTAAACTAGAACTCTGAGAAAACTTTTTATGACAAACATCACATTCAAATGGTTTATCTCCTGAATGAACTCTTTTGTGTGTATATAATTTAGAACTATATGAAAACTTTTTATGACAAACATCACATTCAAATGGTTTATCTTCTGAATGAACTTTTTTGTGTGTATTTAAATTAGCACTATGTGAAAACTTTTTATGACAAACATCACATTCAAATGGTTTATCTTCTGAATGAACTCTTTTGTGTCTATATAAACTAGAACTCCGAGAAAACTTTTTATGACAAACATCACATTCAAATGGTTCATCTTCTGAATGAACTTGTTTGTGTGCATATAAATTAGCACCATGTGAAAACTTTTTATGACAAACATCACATTCATATGGCTTATCTCCTGAATGAACTCTTTTGTGTTTATATAAACTAGAACTATATGAAAACCTTTTGTGACAAACATCACATTCAAATGGTTTATCTCCTGAATGAACTTGTTTGTGTCTATATAAATTAGCACTATGTGAAAACTTTTTATGACAAACATCACATTCATATGGCTTATCTCCTGAATGAACTTTTTTATGTTCATATAAATTAGCACTATATGAAAACTTTTTATGACAAACATCACATTCATAGTGTTTATCTTCTGAATGAACTCTTTTGTGTTTATATAAACTAGAACTATATGAAAACCTTTTGTGACAAACATCACATTCAAATGGTTTATCTCCTGCATGAACAGTTTTGTGTCTATATAAATTAGAACTCTTAGAAAACTTTTTATGACAAACATCACATTCATATGGCTTATCTCCTGAATGAACTTTTTTATGTTCATATAAATTAGCACTATATGAAAACTTTTTATGACAAACATCACATTCATAGTGTTTATCTTCTGAATGAACGCTTTTGTGTTTATATAAAATAGAACTCTGAGAAAACTTTTCATGACAAACATCACATTCAAATGGTTTATCTCCTGAATGAACTCTTTTGTGTTTATATAAACTAGAACTATATGAAAACCTTTTGTGACAAACATCACATTCAAATGGTTTATCTCCTGAATGAACTGTTTTGTGTCTATATAAATTAGAACTCTTAGAAAACTTTTTATGACAAACATCACATTCATATGGCTTATCTCCTGAATGAACTTTTTTATGTTCATTTAACCTAGAACTATATGAAAACCTTTTATGACAAACATCACATTCAAATGGTTTATCTCCTGAATGAACTCTTTTGTGTCTATATAAATAATAACTCTTAGGAAACTTTTTATGACAAACATCACATTCATGAGGCTTTTCTCCTGAATGAACTTTTTTATGTTCATTTAACCTAGAACTATATGAAAACCTTGTATGGCAAGCATTACATTCAAGTGGCCTCTCCCCTACTTGAGCTTGTTTATTCAAGTTAGATCTTTGAAAAAACTGTTCATGACAATTATGAGGATCAACAGACAGATATGTTTCATCTTCAGGGAGTTTTAGCTTTTCTTCAAGTCCATTTTGTTTTTTGTCCTCAGAATCTAAAAATTTTGTCCATAAATCTGGTTTTAAATCTTTGTTGGTTGATAAAGTTTCTAATTCTGGTATTATATCTTCGCTAGTTGATAAAGTTTCTAATTCTCGTTTTAGATCTTCACTAGTTGATTTATTTTCTAATTCTGGTTTTATATCTTCAGATCTTGTACATACTGCTGATACAGCAGGTTCCATATCTTTAAAAATTAAAAATGCTGTTGTTTTATCTTGAGATGTTAGAAATGTCATATGGTGTTTTACATCATCAAAAGAGGAAAATGATGTACATTCTGACTTTGTGTCTGTAGAAGATGAAAAATCTGGCGTAACAACGGTTTTATCATCCTGTGAAGCTATAAATGTCAAGTTTGGTTTGATATCAGGGAAAGTTAAAAATGATAATTCTGTTTTTATGCCAGAAGAAGATGAAAATACTGTAGATAGAAGTGGCTTCACATCTTCAGAATTTGAAAATTCTTTAAACTCATCAGACTGTAAATCTAAATCAGCAGTTGCCTCTCCCATGCTGCTTCTTATAAATAAACTGAGGATTAGATATTTAAATGTTAAAGTGGTGATTATATAGATCTAGAAACTATAGTCAAAACAAAGTTTTTTCAATAAAACTTCTCAGAAGCATATTAAAACATCTTAGAAATGAATTTAGATAGCTTAAAGTTAACACAATCAATAAACAATTTTAAAAATAAAATAATTAATGTATTGTATATGCCTAAGAGTGGCGGATTATGGTAGAAAATAAAATCAAACTTAATTTTTTTTTTTGTTTTATACAATATTTGTACAAAATTAACATGCCATGCTTTTTAAATTGACAGAAGGTAAGTATACCATGTTACAAAAACTGCAATCATAACAATTCATATTTTCACTTTAAAAAATGAAAAGAAAAAAACAATCATCAATGAGGAAAGCGCAACGCTTTATGTTTTTAAAATATGGGCGACATGACAAATAATAAATCTGGCCAAATGATTGGCTTTGGGCGCAGCACACATCTAAACGCGCCTTGTTTTTCACAAGATTATAATCAAATGGCATTAATGGGGAGGGGGGGGGGGTATATGACTGGCATAGTGACCACACCTAAGGACATGAGAATTATTCCCTAACTGTTGTTTAATCATACATGGCGTAACATTAGAATCATAGTTTAGAAGTTTATTTGATTGTAAGATCATTTTAAAACAAGAACATACAAAGCTACTTTCACTAAAGTGTCGCTTGCGAGATAAATAAAGAAATAAGGTCAAAAGTACACCTTACTATTCTTAATTCACAGACTAAGGTAATCTATGGTTTTATGTAGGGGGCCTACATAAAATCTGCAGAGGCTAGTAATGTTAAAAAGCCAGTAGTGATCTCCCCTAAGCTTTCTCAAATATTCTTATATAACACTACGGGGGATTGGCAACTCGGGATATACAATATATAGACATGATTTTTAAATCCATGTTTAAGTACTTAAACTTTTTAAAATAGAATAGAATCTTGTAGAAAAAAGAATTGCGCACCAAGGAAACGCGAAACAAAATGTGTATAATAGTGCGGAATATTATTAGTACTTTATATATTCACATGCATTTTTGAGAAAGTGGAAATAGCCTCCATTACTACTTCTGGTCAACGGAAATTACTCTAAATTTGAAAGAAGGTGGAAAATTAGATCTTTTACTTACATATGAAATTTCATTTGGCTATCTGAAACAGAACTCAAGTTATAGGCTTTTAAAAAATTTAAAGTAGAATAAATTCCACTTCCGGTTAATCAGAAATCGCTGAAAAGTTGATACAGAACTAGAAATTTGATATAATACTTATATATGAAATTTTATCAACCTAGCTGTAACTGTACTCAAGTTATCGTGATCACAGACACACATACACTGAAAGAATTGCAAAGCCCAGTTTTTCAGACTCGATTATGCATAAAACGTCAAAAATTTGATAAATGTGGGTTTATAATTTTTGCCCGATTAAAATAAGTCTTCTATACTCCAGATGAAGGACTGAGGTGAAAAACTGTGAAAACCGTCACAATTTCATGTGATTTTTGTGCACTATCAGAATACTTTCTCTATACCCTGTGCCTGTATGTGTATACGACGTATAAGTATACGAGAAAGAAAAAAAGGGTGACGTATCAAATTTTTGTAATTAGTTGGCATTTTTAGAAGGATTCACATTTTGAAAGCTACAAAAATGTTACAAACTTTTATTGATGTGCGTGTTTTAAAACATCAGTAGTAAAACTTTTCAGTAATAAATAAAGATTAACGATGTTTTTACTTGATGCAACCAAGCTCATTTACTAAAGCAGCCATCTTGTTTAAGCTAGAGATTCAAGGGAAACCACCCTAATTTACAGTTGGCCGCTGTTTATATAGCAAATCTTGCTCGCAAACTAGGCTGTTTAAAGTTAATTTCTGGCTTCTATTGATATATTTGGACATTGATTTTGGTTTATTATTCAATTATCTATTACTATTATATTTGACACAAAACTATTAGTATTACTCGCTACCTTGGAGGTGTGGATCGTTGCTAACATCAATATGACGTCCACACCAGATGCATGACTTTCACTTTCAAAGATTTTTCACCTTAGCTCCAGTGACCTTCTTACAATTAGTTTTTAAAACGTTTACCAAGAGCAAAAATGTTGGTTTTTCACGGTATACAAACAAGCTATAGGTGGCAGGGCAAAATATGCCAGAAAAACATTTTAAAATTTGCTTTGAAGAAGGAAGGTATATTTAAAAGTTGGTTCCATTAAAAATGATAGAACTTTTAAAATATTAGCCCGGGAAGTAGAAAAATGAATTGAAGATTGAAGAATTATTAGGTTTATCAGTCTATTAAAAAATATATCCAATATATAATACAACATAATTAGTTTAAAATGTTAGTACAATCTCTAGGCCTACCCCCATGCATGTAAACCACAATACAAACAACTCTGTAGTGGCAGTGGTCACTTTTTCTACTGTTGGTAATACATAAATGTGTAGAAATATCTAAGAATTTTTTTTTAGCAGGCCTGAACTATAACAAGTGGTAGGCGTACAACACAAATGTACACTGTCGTATGCCTGCTTTTACAACATACCCAGGTATATGGCTAATTTCCACATCAAAATCTAAAACCTTATGTTGCACCATTTCACCACCAATGTCCCCCACCTTGATCTGCGCGATGACATAAAAAAAAATATTGTGGAAATTCGTAAGTAACATCGCAGGATTACAGAAACGTTTTTACTAAGAAATCACTTCAGAAGTGGGGTTGGTATGGTCGAGTCGGTAAAGCTCATGGTTGCTAAACCGATATGTCTCGAGTTTGAACACTCTGGCAGATGAGGCTCGTTAGCAGAGGACAGCCACTCTTCTAGGAGAGACTACTCCAAAATCAAACAACTTCTGCCTTGTGTTTGTTCTTGGGTGGACAAAAGCTATGGAAGCAAATCCAAAAAGAAAAGCAGGAAGAAATCTGAGTCAATGGCCTCAATGGCGCATAACCAGTTGACATGTATATTTCATTATGAAGAAGAAGATTTCAGAAGTAACTATGCTAATACTAATGTCAGAGATGTAGCGCCCCACCTCCCCCCAAAGCAAATAGCTGATTTTTTTTACAAGTGGTGGGAGGAGAAAATAGGATGAGTGCAGTGACAGCAGCAATTTTCACAAACACTGCATTTCAAGGTTTTTTAAAAATTTCAAGGACCTTTTACAACTGTTAAAAAACAACTATAGATAGATCGTGTAAAAAAAATTATAGCAGGCCTACATATTTTGTTTGAAGGCCCAAAACCAGATACGTTTTTTCAAAATTTTGCTTAACAGTAAAGTGACTTTCTTTGAATTTGGTTTTTAAAAAATGATTATCACGTGAAAAATGGCAGATTTTAAGCGTATTTTTATGCTACCTGAAGATGACAAAGCTATTTTTGCCAGAAAAAAATTTATCAAACATAAACATGGGTAAAGTTTTAAGTTGCTTAAAAACTTAAAATATCTATCTGTAAGGTTCCAAACTTGCACTGTTAGGTAGGGTATTATTAGATTGATCTGTTTCTGAATTAAAACTGTAAATATTCTGTACTCATTTTGAGAAAAAAAATCACCCACATGTCACGTAAACAATATTTTTTTGTGAGGGACGTAATTGCTATCCTGTCACTGCTTAAGTAAGTTTTCTTTTTACTAGACACTTTCTTTTTTTACCTATTTTGCTAGTGTAATTAGGCTAATTAAGTCTCATTATGGATCTTTCACCGGGCTTTTTGATTATACTATGACTCTAAAAGCCCCTAAACCACAATGATCTATTATTTTGTTTTTTAATTTGTGTTAATCCTTGAAATTATTGCGAGTTGGCCTTTGTGTGCTTATTTATGCCTAATTATTTGTTGTTTTCAAATGTGTTATAAGGGGTTGGCGTGGTAGAGTCAGTAAAGCCCATGGTTGCTAAACCGAAAAGTCTCGAGTTCGAACCCTCAGGCAGATAAGGCTCGTTAGCTGGGGACAGCCACCCTTCTAGGAGAGACAACTCCAAAATTAAACAACTGCTGCCTTGTACTTTGTTCTTGGTTGGACAAAGGCTATGGAAGCAAATCCAAAAAGAAAAGCAGGCTGAAATCGGAGTCAATGGCCTCAATGGCGCATAACCAGTTGACACGTAACGCTTAATTGTGTTGGAGGCGTGGTCGAGTCGGCAAAAAGTTCATGGTTGATAAATTCGAACAAAGTCTCGAGTTCAAACCCACTGGCAGATAAATCTCGATCCCCTTCAACACTAATAATTAAAAACAAAGAAGAAGAAGAAAAATGTGTTATAGCTTAAGGACAATGGCGGGTGTACTTTTCGTCATAAATCCACTAAATCATCGATTTCCCACTTTTACTTGATCTATACAGAATAACCATCGTTGAATCTAAAAATGGCATTGTTATGACCCTAAAAACAGTATTTATTTATGAAAAACCGGGTTCAATGTAGTGTGTACAGGGTCTTTTGTTTAATTTTTTGGTAAAAATAGCAATTTTTCGACCTAGAAAAGTACTATTAGGCTTCGCGGAAAACCTAATGTGTTTCATATCAATGGAAAGGCTGTGACATCCTTTCTTTATTTGTTCTAAAATTAAATGACCAATCAAAATACCTATTTTAATGTGATTATTTTTCTACGTCATAAAGTTGTTTATTTTACTCAGTCGGGTTTTTCCGGTATGCAAATTTTTTACCTCAATTTTTTCATTGGCATACAACTGCGGAAGCTAGTTAGCGATTGGTCATTTCGCTTCGGAAATAAACATTCCCTTAGTTTCAGCACGTTGCTAAGTTTGATCTAGTTTTGTTTCTCTAAGCTTCTATGAAATACTTACATTATTTTAACATATAATTATTGCAATTAAATATACTATTAACAGTTTAGACTAGTTTGTGTGAATTATCATAAGCAGAGAGACGATTTAATTTGTTTCTCTTTCGATAATGGGTAGAACAAAACACTCGCTAAAAATAGATACACACATCTAACTAATTTACTAAAGCTAGAGCACGTCCGAATGCAACTGATTGCAGCTACCTCTACTCAATCTAGCACTATTCAGACAAGCACTGGTGCAGATGTAATATGCACATTTACTAAGAAACTGCGGCAATGTAAGACACAGTTTTTACAGACAGAAGAAAGCACTGTTACATCTAGTACTGGTAGTGCTAATTGTAAACCACAGCCATGCAGAATTATTGTCGAATGTGATTTGCTTCTTGATGTTATCAATATATTTCCTCGCCCACTGTGATGTAGTGGCTACTATTGATGAAAAAAGTGTAAAGGGTTTGCTTCAAGCATGGTGTGGCAGTAATAAAAATGTTGTAAACCGTAAGTATACAACTGCAAAAGAATCCAGAACAAGGCCTTTCACAATAAACAAAGACATCGTCTTATCATAATTGGCTTTAGACATGAGACCATGCAAAATATACTGCTGTTTCTGCGATAGCATAATTCAATTTTGGGCCCAGGCATGCTATGGCATTGCTGTCAAAAGAAGGAAACCATAGTCGAAGACCCAGCTTTACTACAGCTTTAGGTAAAACAAACAGCGCCAGAAAAAAAGAAAACTAGCAGCTGAAAAAGCTCAGAAGGAATATATTCAGCAGCACCATACTTCAGGCTATAAATGTGGTCGATTTTAGTGACATACAGCGATAAATTTTAATTTTTTGCAACTTTTTGTTAGTTTTTTGCGTTTTTCTCAGTTTGGTGTTTATTTGTACAATTGTTGAAATAACTTTGTTAATAATTATAAGAACTGAACTAAATTTGCTCCAGTTACTCTTTATATATATTCAAATAAAACTGATAGAACACTTTTGGATATTTGGTAAAAAAAAAAAAATTTTTGTTGAAATAGTGAAAAAATTGGACGAAATAATGTAATTTTTTACAGTGATGTTTGAAAAAAAAAAGTTAAAAAAAAAACTATTTTCTTTTTTGAAAATGTAATCTATCAGAAGTCTTAAACACATGTGTCTGCAGACTATATTAAGTTTTCATGAAATTTGTACAAACCATTTTTGAGTTATTTCCATTTAAAAATTGTCAATAAAATCCAATATGGCCACCGTCACCATGGCAACGGAAGATTTAAAAAAATATTTTTATGCTTAACTCTTTGAGTTATAACTATTAGCCAAGTATTACATCTTTAGACTCGGAAAAAAGGAAGTTGGTACTCATCACCCGCCCATGCCCTTAATTAATTTGTGTTAATTCTTATTGATTTCATAGATTTTAATTAGTTTAAGTTTAATATAATATTATTCTCACTGTTCTTTGTTGATATTCTTTTATTAGGCTAAATAATGTTTATATTATTAAGATTTAAGAGGTCTGAAAAATTAAATGATTTTAGTGTTGGGTCTAGGCTTACATTACTAATTAGAATTATTAATTAGAACTTGGGCTAACAAAGTACTTGGACTAGATTTGGAACACGCTCATACTGTGCTTTGAGTTTTCTCTCACCGGTTTACAAAAGAACACAGGTGGGCTGCAATGTTTGTAATTTGCCTATATCTTTCGGTCACAGGCGATCATTTTAATGTGATAGGCCTCTTAATTTTATAGGTTTGATGAATTGTATTTGATAAGTTAACTTTTCTAGTTGACAAAACTACTTGAGTGAGCATCTGTCTGTCACTACGCAAGCGAGATGCCTGTCATGGGCACTGCCAGTGATGCTGTTTAGAATGCGTTTCTCGATAATTTGATCAATTTTAATGTGATTACAGTTTTAAAAAATGGATACAAATCTTAACAATATTTTAAACTCAGCATGGACAAAGCTTTGTAAATAACACACAGGTTTCAAGTCCAGTAAGGGAGGAGGGATAGATTCATTTTACAATGACATAGCTATCATTTATAAATTGCCCTGATTAAACATTACTAAAACACACTAATTAAGCCTAATCAAAACTGAAATAAACATACATATGAATATCTTTTAAAAGTTTAGATCTAGATCTATATTATATATTCTTAAACATTTAAAACGTGATTATTTTTGGATCATTCATTAGCCTATATTAAAAAAATAGTAAATATGTTACATGACAAAACCAAGTTACGAGCATCCTTTCAATTATGTTTTATTGACACATACCGACACTCCACCCTCCCCTCACTTGATCCTTACTAACATCCAAGGTCCCTCTCCTGTCAATTTTGTGGACCAGATCTAAGAATGATTGTCACGGAAAAAGCTGTCCCAGCTAAGCTAAAAAGCACCAATAATTAAAATCCTGTATTTTAGCCCCAAATTTACAAATTAGCTAAAACCATCAAATGTAGTTAGTAGTTAGAGATAGGGTAAAGGAGGGCGTTAAGAGCCGTGTGGTATTAAGCCCCAAACAACACCCCACCCCCACAAAATCCCCAATAACACTGCTAATCTACTTCTGAGGTAACAACCACTGTTGTTCTTTGATAACAGAGAAGCAGAGGATTCATTTTATGTAATTTATGACTCACTTGGTCCAATAGGGAGAGGACGAGACAGGATTTAATCCCACTGCTCTTTCCCTAAAATTTCTCATCTCCATAAAACCATTTTGTGAACTTTTTTTTTCCAAATAGACATAACTTGGGAAACTTCACTTTGTAATAAACCAAATGAGTTTTTCAAGCCCATTTTTTGTTCCTGTATTAGAGCATTGGTTGTTGTACATTTTAACACTATTTTTATAGCTATGGCTAGAATAGTTTTATTTTGGTGAATTTTTTTTTTGCACAGTGATTATTGGTGCCAAAACAAAATGGCCGACATTTGTCCCATTTTACCATGCTATAAAGTTTTTATCATTATCAGAGTAAAACTTGACTGATCATTACCATAATGGTTTTATTTGTTAGATAATAACTAAATCTACATGAATACATTAATTTTGTCCACTAGCTTGCCTGTTAAGAAAAGTTATAACAGATACTGTTATGTGGCTCTTGATACCCTATGTGCAAGTTTCTCATTGATTAGACCACTGAATATGACACTGGTTTAGGACCACGCCTCCAACACAATTAAGCGTTACGTGTCAACTGGTTATGCGCCATTGAGGCCATTGACTCCAATTTCAGCCTGCTTTTCTTTTTGGATTTGCTTCCATAGCCTTTGTCCAACCAAGAACAAACTACAAGGCAGCAGTTGTTTAATTTTGGAGTTGTCTCTCCTAGAAGAGTGGCTGTCCCCAGCTAACGAGCCTCATCTGCCCGGGGGTTCGAACTAGACCATTTGTACATGTTTTTTGGGGTTAGGATAAATAGGATGGTCTATCTATAGAACGTGCACTTGCAATCGCGGATTTTTCGAGTTCGCTATTCGGCACCCTGGACCGAACTGCCGCTCATAACGAACCAGGTGCATCTGAGAAGTAGGCAAAAGACTGGCAAAACCCACGGACCATGCGGGTTACAATACAAGATACGAGATTCTTCAAAGTTTTTCCAGACTGCCTAGCTTAAGAATGATGCAGGAGTAGGCGATGGCCGTGCTAGAAATAGATAATTTGTCGTGAAAGCGAGATGGCTAGTTGAAGATACTTTTTTTCTAAAATGGTGAAATAGCTTATTTATTTTTTAATTTAATTTTTTTTGTAAAAATTGCCCTGAGCTTTAACCGTCTTAAGATATTTGAATTGATACTATGAAAAACAATAACTTTTTTTCTTGATAAAAAAAAATATGCTGCGTTCCCTTCAAAATACAAGTAAAATGAATTGTTCTTATGTTATTACTTTTTAAATAAACCGAGAGTGATCTCCCCTAAACTTTCTCGAATATTCTTATGTAAAATAAACCGGGAGTGATCTCCCCTAAACTTTCTCGAATATTCTTATATAAAAAACAAGGGATGGGAACTCGGGATATAGACATGAATTTTAATCCATTTTAAAAATTAAAACTTTTTAAAAATAGAATAAAATCTCGTAGAAAAAAGAATTGCACACCAGTGAACGCCAAATAAAATGTGCTTAATATGCGGAATATTATTAGTACTTTATAAATTTACATTAATTTTTGAGAAATCGGAGATATCGCAAATTAGTACTTCCGGTCAACGGAAATTACTCAAGATTTGACAGAAGGTAGAGAATTAGATCTTTTACTTACATGTTTAATTTCATTTATCTATCTAAAATAGTACTCAAGTTATAGGCTTTTGAAAAATTCAAAGTAAAAAAAAGTACCACTTTCGGTTATCGGAAATCGCTCAAAAGTTGATACGGATCTACGATTTTGATAACATACTTATATATGAAATTTCATCAATCTAGCTGTAACGGTTCTCAAGTTATCGTGTTTACAGACACACAGACACACATACACACGAACAAGATTGCAAAATTATGTTTTTCCGTATCAGTGAGGTGTAAAATGTCGAGATTTTTGCACGATTACAAGCCAATCTTTTATTTAATTAATTCAGCTGCCCTACGCCGTCGCCGGTAAAACAACAGCGGAAACAGTCTTACGTCACTTCAGACAGGAAACCGGTCTACGTCACATCCGACACGATTTCTCTGAGCAGCCGATCGAGGCAGACGGCGCGGCGAGGCAGCATGTCCAGCCAGTGCAGCAGTGTGGCCACGGAGAGCTGCTTTAGTCGCATCACCAGCATAGACGAGGTGGAGGAGGAGCGGATCTCGTCCAGCGATCTCTTCGCTTTCTGCCTACAGGTGGCGCGGGGTATGGGGCATCTGGCTGAGAACAAGGTGATAACAGGTGGGGACAGGTACAGATGGTGGTGGTGGGGACAGGTGGTGGTGGGGACAGGTACAGGTGGTGGAGGGGCTAGGGGTGGGTGGTAAATACAGGTGGCGCGGGGTATGGGGCATCTGGCTGAGAACAAGGTGAGAACTGGTGGGGACAGGTGGTGGTGGGGACAGGCGGGGCTAGGGGTATGGGGCATCTGGCTGAGAACAAGGTGATAACAGGTGGGGACAGGTACAGGTGGGGACAGGTGGTGGTGGGGACAGGTACAGGTGGTGGAGGGGCTAGGGGTGGGTGGTAAATACAGGTGGCGCGGGGTATGGGGCATCTGGCTGAGAACAAGGTGAGAACTGGTGGGGACAGGTGGTGGTGGTGGGGACAGGTACAGGTGGTGGTGACAGGTACAGGTGGTGGTGGGGCTAGGGGTGGGTTGGTAGATACAAGTGGCGCGGGGTATGGGGCATCTGGCTGAGAACAAGGTGAGAACTGGTGGGGACAGGTGGTGGTGGTGGGGACAGGTACAGGTGGTGGTGACAGGTACAGGTGGTGGTGGGGTTAGGGGTGGGTTGGTAGATACAAGTGGGGCGGGATATGGGGCATCTGGCTGAGAACAAGGTGAGAACAGGTGGGGACAAGTGGTGGTGATGGGGACAGGTACAGGTGGTGGTGGTGGGGACAGGTGGTGGTGGGGACAGGTGACAAGGGGTGGGGAGATAGGTACAGTTGGGGATAGGGGTGGGGACAGATGAGGCAAGGGGTGCGATGGTACATGGGGACAGGTGGGGGCTGGCGGTTGTGTGGTTCGTAGGGGTATAGGAGCATTCAGCGTAGACCATTTAATAGGGCATCTAGGCTAGACATTAAAACGATAATACGTAGGGATCGAAAAGGACATCGATGGAATTTATTTAAGACGCAAAAGGACAATTAGTTGTGAAAAAATGGAAATTTTATTTAGACAGTAAAAGGACAATTATTTGCGTCTAAGAAACCAAATCAAGACAACAAAAGGACAAATATTTTTGAGAAAAACTGTTTATAAAAATGGGAAATAACTCCAGTTGACTTTTTTCTTTGACCAGATTGTCCATAGAGATCTGGCAGCTCGCAATGTGTTGGTCACTGACAGGTGCGTGTGCAAGATCACAGACTTCGGGCTGGCTCGATGTCTGGGGGACACTGACCACTACGACAGGTCGTCGAAGGTTCGTGAACTGGTTAAATTATGGTTAAATCGTCGAAGGTTCGTGAATTGGTTAAATTATGGTTAAATAGTCAAAGGTTCGTGAGTTGGTTAAATTATGGTTAAATAGTCAAAGGTTCGTGAGTTGGTTAAATTATGGTTAAATAGTTGGCTCGATGTCTGGGGGACACTGACCACTATTACAGATCGTCGAAGGTTCGTGAATTGGTTAAATTTAAAATTATGGTTAAATAGTTGGCTCGATGTCTGGGGGACACTGACCACTACGACAAATCGTCGAAGGTTCGTGAATTGGTTAAATTATGGTTAAATAGTCAAAGGTTCGTGAATTGGTTAAATTATGGAAAATAGTCAAAGGTTCGTAAAATCCATTGGTTAAATTATGGTTAAATCGTCGAAGGTTCGTGAATTGGTTAAATTATGGTTAAATAGTCAAAGGTTCGTGAATTGGTTAAATTATGGAAAATAGTCAAAGGCTCGTAAACTCCATTGGTTAAATTATGGTTAGATCGTCAAAGGTTCGTGAACTGCAATGGTTTAAGGTAAATTATGTTTTCAGTTATTCGTCGAAGGTTCACTAACTTCATTAGTTTGATTATTGTTTGATCGTCGGTTTTTTAACTTGTTTTACTTATAGTCGCGGAAGAAACTCCAAACTTGCTCTAGTTCAGTTGCCACATAACTTGGCCAGAAAATAATTGTTTTATCTGTAGAAAACAAGCATATGTCAATTTGGTGGCTTTAGCATTTGGTTAGAATATTTAAACTAAATATTATGTTTCAATGCATCCTATTGTGAGTTTGTGTGGCGACGTGGTCGAATGGTAGAGCGTTGGAGGCCAGCCCCAAAGTCTCGAGTTCGGTCCTGGTTTTGATTAATCCACCAAGCTCTGATGGGTACCAGACAATACGTTGGGCATAGTGCTGACCACGCCATCCCTTGATATGCCGAAGTCAAGAAACATGAACCCTAGTTCATCTACACAATGGATCGCTACGTCTAAAGAAAGTATTTTTTACTTTCTTTATTGCTAGCTGGTGGCAAATCCCAATGCTGATTCACCTTGCTATGGCTTACATTATTAGGACTAGGACATTGATTCCTTTGTAGAATCTTCCAACTGTGTTTTATTCGTTTCAAGCATTAATTTTCCTACTTCGTTTTAGATTCGAACCCGTTACCGTTAAAGCGGCGTAGGTGAAGTAGATTATAACAGAAGTGGTAGGTGAATGATAAATCTAGTTTAAAACAAGTGTTTTTCTAAACTTGACAGGGCCCACTGCCGGTTAGATGGTTGGCACCAGAAAGTTTGATTGACAGAACACACAGCACCAAATCTGATGTCTGGGCCTGCGGCTTTCTTCTGTGGGAGATTGTTACGCTAGGTGAGTTCATAGGTTTACATTAGTAGGGGGGGGGGGGGGGGGGGAGGTTTTATGTAGTGAAGGGGGTGAATGTTGTTGTTACTTGGTACCCTATCCCGTTCGTCCTTGTTCAGTTCTCGTGCTGTGAGTTGTAATATTCCGGTTTGTACCAGTTTATGAAAGGGTATGTAAGGTGTATGAAAACGTGTGTGATGGCCTCAGTTTTGTCCAGGTCTCCAAGGTTAATACAGGTTAGGTTTATACTAGTTTTTAGCCACTGTATCTTAGTTTACTAGCTTGTGTATTTTCTGTTTAAACTAGACTGTGTTAGGTGTAGATAGTGTATATAAATTCTTTTAGTTTCAACGAGCCTTTGTTTCAGTCTTGTTTTATAACCCGTTTGTGGTTGTTTGTCTTATGTGTTGCGCTACGCATCGGATCTCCCGAATGGCATGTCCGTGTGTTCACAACAGTGTACTTTACGGTGTTGGAGGGGGGGGGAACTATCTTTGGGTGAGTCTATTGTTTTACTTTAGTTTGGTAGTAGGGGGCTACTGTATGGGTTTGGAGGGGGGGGTGTAGATTGTAAATCTCGGCAAATTCATTAAGCAGGCGCATGTAACCTTCACCTTGAATGTCTTGCAACCAACAGTCTGATTGCAAACTATACACTTTTGTGTTGATAGATGGGGTCGGAGCGAACTTTCTAGATAGCAAACAAATACAACAAAATATCATTAGCTTCCTACAACATTGTGTCATGAAGAATGGCTTCACAAAATGTGTACATTAATACTATTATATTAATACACGGGATACCGTGATGGGTCTGAATAGATCCGCCTTCAAGATAAAATAAACAGTACCTGTGATGTAAAAGATACTGGGTGAACCTGGCAATAGGGCTGGTAAGTAGGTCACCAACCAGTTATATGGCTCATGCAGGTTTTATTGAGCCGTAGAACTGGTTGGTGACCTACTTACCAGCCCTATTTTGTTCCAAATGTCCACTCTATATTTTATTTTCTTGTACCACACCCACCCCACGCACCCCAGACCAAGTTGACAAAATATCGATCTAAAGAGTTTGATTGATTGATTTCAGGTGCCAGTCCTTACCCCGGGTTGTCTGCCCATGACGCCTTCAAGTTTGTTAGCGCTGGCAAGAAAATGGAGAAACCTCAGCACTGCAGTTCTGACATGTACATAACTTTAATCCTAACCACACAATCGACAACACACACATCCACTTTGACAACTAAAAACCCACTCAGCTAGAGAAATTTTGACAATTCCACATCAATTACGACAGCAACAAAAGAGTAACCCCCCCCCCCCCCACATCACTCACCCCAATGTATCTTCTTCTTCTTCTTCGTTCTTAATTATTAGTGTTGAAGGGGATCGAGATTTATCTGCCAGTGGGTTTGAACTCGAGACTTTGTTCGAATTTATCAACCATGAGCTTTTTGCCGACTCGACCACGCCTCCAACACAATTAAGCGTTACGTGTCAACTGGTTATGCGCCATTGAGGCCATTGACTCCGATTTCAGCCTGCTTTTCTTTTAGGATTTGCTTCCATAGCCTTTGTCCAACCAAGAACAAACTACAAGGCAGCAGTTGTTTAATTTTGGAGTTGTCTCTCCTAGAAGAGTGGCTGTCCCCTGCTGACGAGCCTCATCCTCCCGAGGGTTCGAACTCGAGACTTTTCGGTGTAGCAACCATGAGCTTTACCGACTCGACCAAGTCGACCCCCTCCCCAATGTATAATCCCACCCACTCACAACCCCACACAACTCAACTCCAACAATCCTACACAAAATCCCACCCCCATACAAACCCGCACAACTCAACTCCCACACAAAATCCCACCCCACACAATTCCATCAAAACAAACCCACCCCCACAATCCCACACAACTCACCCCCATACATAATCCCAACCATTCACAACCCCACACAACTCAACTCCCACACAAACTCCCACCCCCACACAACTCAACTCCCACAATAAATCCCACCCCCACACAATCTCCTACCCCCACACAATCCTACAACTCAACTCCAACAATCCCACACAATCTCCCACCCCCACACAATCCTACAACTCACCTCCCACAATCCCACAAAAAACGCCACCCCAACTCCCCCATAACCAACCAACTAACCCTAACCCTCCCTGTCCCCAGATACGAGCTCATGTGCAGCTGCTGGTCCTTCCTCCCAGAGAACCGTCCAACGTTTGATGCCCTGTATCGCAGGTTCGAGACTCTGCTCGAAAAAGAAAAAGATTACATCAATCTGGAACTATTCCAGAGCGAACAGTACGCTTGTCTGGATGCGGACATATTGGATGAGAAGTTATAGGACATAAAGCTGGTTGGATGAGAAGATATAGGACATAAAGCTGGTTGTATGAGAAGATATAGGACATAAATGAGAAGATATAGGGCATAAAGCTGGTTGGATGAGAAGATATAGGACATAAAGCTGGTTGTATGAGAAGATATGACATAAATGAGAAGATATAGGGCATAAAGCTGGTTGGATTTGAAGATATAGGACATAAAGCTGGTTGGATTAGAAGATATAGTACATAAATGAGAAGTTATAGGACATAAAGCTGGTTGATTGAGAAGTTATAGGATATAATTTATAAAGCTGTTTGGATGAGAAGTTGTAGGACATAAAGCTGGTTGGATGAGAAGTTATAGGATATAAAGCTGGTTGCTTGAGAAGAAATAGGATATAAAGTTGGCTGGATGAGAAGAAATAAGATATAATGCTGGCTGAGTGCAGACATAATAGATAAGTTATAGTAGAATGACTGGGTTATATTAACTGACAGTTGAAGTCACCTAAGAGATCCCGGATGTTACATAACTTACTTGGATTTTGCAGATAACTTTTTTTTTTAAAACCCGAGAAAGTCGATTTAAAAACGAATCAAATCATTCTTCGCAGTGATCTCGTGCAAAATGTTTTTGTTGACACAAGTATTAGACATGCTGACAAGTATAGGGCTGGTAAGTAGGTCAATAAATAGTTCTATGGCTCATGCAGGTTTTATTGAGCTGTAGAACTGGTTGGTGACCTACTTACCAGCCCTATAGTAACGATCGTCCAGACGTGTATGTTTCATTACATACCTACAAGACATTTGAAACCTACCCCATACTCCACAGGCCGTTACAGAACAAATATGTTCATAACCCCCCCCCCCCCCTGCCTCAACACGAACAAAATGTAAACTCAGTGCTTTGCAATTTATGTGACCATATAAATGAATTACAAGAATCCCATTATTTTTTAGGAAATATTTTATTAAAATAAGACTGTTTTGTAATAATATTCGTTATACAACTGTCTGTTGATTTAAGCAAAAGAAACAATAACCTACATTAATAATTGTAATGCATTCAATGATAAAAATAGATAATAATAAATGCAATCTTTTGTAGTTTAGATATTAACGTCAATAAAACATTAAAATTTAATAACTATGAATATAAACACACCTAACTTTATATACAAACATCGTATTCAATAAAAACATTGCAACCATCCATTGTTTGCAGTTGTGTTGTCATGTTATAGTGATGCCTTGTATTCTATAGAACTGTTTTCATCGTTACTATGGACTTATAGTAACTACTTTTACAAATGCTGCCGAGTGTATGGCTTGTAAGACATGTTCTCTCTCACTGTTATTTGATATCTCGCTAGCCAGGGAGAGGTGTGAATTTTCGAACTGAATTTTCTCTTGTGATCATGGTTACCATTATTAACAAACAAAAAAAATGGGGTAATTTGTTTCTAGGTCTCGCCTCAAGATTTTAAAATACCAAGAGTGCATAAAAGAAAAAAGAATTGCGCAGCAAGTGAACGGAAAAAAATATTTAAATAATAGTGCGGAAAACTAGTACTTCATTAATTCATATGCGTTTTTTTAGAAATCGGAAATAGCGTAAAGTTTTACTTCCGGTCAATGAAAATTACTCAAAATTTGAAAGAAAGCAGAGAATTAGATCTTTTACGTTTAAGTGAAATTTCGTTTCTCTATGTGAAACAACACTCAAGTTATGTTTGCGTTTTTGTTTGTGGTTAGGGTTAATTAAAAAGGTAATATATATATATTAAATCCGGGCTATGCCGGGTATATGCTGAACACAACACACAAGTCATAGGGGGGGGGGGCGGTAGATGCATGGAAAAAATTCTGGTGCCTGGCCGGCTAGTTTATAATTATTTATATATATATAAATATATATATATATATATGTTAGGGGGATTTAGTTGTTCGAGAAAGAGGGATCATCTGCGATCGCACTTCTGACACCAAAATGTAAGGGGAGGGTTGTTTTTGTTAACCGATTAAAAGAGAGACATGGTAAGATGGTATTGACCATTATTCTCTCAAATCCGTGCACCTTTGCGTGGTGACAAAGGAGTCTAATAGACCTGAGCAAAACTAATTAACATCTAAACAAATACAACATTAATTTTACACTAAAAATAAAACCTGGTAAACACCCAGTTAATGCATTTATTTAACTTCATCCTACTTCACAAAAATGTATTTTACAAGCAAAAAACAAAAGGATACAAATAAGACCTGGCCAGTTTTCATAATCAAGGAAACATCCCTCGAATTCTTAATACATGGTAAGATGGTATTGACCATTATTCTCTCAAATCCGTGCACCTTTGCGTGGTGACAAAGGAGTCTAATAGAGCTGAGCAAAACTAATTAACATCTAAACAAATACAACTTTAATTTTACACTAAAAATAAAACTTGGTAAACACCCAGTAAATGCATTTATTTTGTCTTGAGCACTTATATCGGGAGCCAATATGTCGGGAGCCGCTTTATTTTAGAAACATATTTATGGCAATCATCACATTCATCTGGCTTATCTCCAGTATGAACTTTTCTATGTTTCCTTAAATTAGAACTCAGAGAAAACTTTTTATGACAAACATCACATTCAAATGGTTTATCTTCTAAATAACCTTTTTTGTGTGTATTTAAACTAGAACTCTGAGAAAACTTTTTATGACAAACATCACATTCAAATGGTTTATCTTCTAAATGAACTTTTGTGTGTGTATTTAAACTAGAACTCTGAGAAAACTTTTTATGACAAACATCACATTCAAATGGTTTATCTCCTGAATGAACTCTTTTGTGTGTATATAAATTAGAACTATATGAAAACTTTTTATGACAAACATCACATTCAAATGGTTTATCTTCTGAATGAACTTTTTTGTGTGTATTTAAACTAGAACTCTGAGAAAACTTTTTATGACAAACATCACATTCAAATGGTTTATCTTCTGAATGAACTCTTTTGTGTGTATATAAACTAGAACTCTGAGAAAACTTTTTATGACAAACATCACATTCAAATGGTTTATCTTCTGAATGAACTTGTTTGTGTTCATATAAATTAGCACTATATGAAAACTTTTTATGACAAACATCACATTCAAATAGTTTATCTTCTAAATGAACTCTTTTGTGTTTATATAAACTAGTACTCCAAGAAAACTTTTTATGACAAACATCACATTCAAATGGTTTATCTTCTGAATGAACTTTTTTGTGTGTATTTAAACTAGAACTCTGAGAAAACTTTTTATGACAAACATCACATTCAAATGGTTTATCTTCTGAATGAACTTGTTTGTGTTCATATAAATTAACATTATATGAAAACTTTTTATGACAAACATCACATTCAAATGGTTTATCTTCTGAATGAACTTGTTTGTGTTCATATAAATTATCACTATATGAAAACTTTTTATGACAAACATCACATTCAAATGGTTTATCTCCAGTATGAACTTTTCTATGTGTCCTTAAATTAGAACTATGAGAAAACTTTTTATGACAAACATCACATTCAAATGGTTTATCTCCAGTATGAACTTTTCTATGTGTCCTTAAATTAGAACTATGAGAAAACTTTTTATGACAAACATCACATTCAAATGGTTTATCTCCTGAATGAACTCTTTTGTGTGTATATAAATTACAACTATATGAAAACTTTTTATGACAAACATCACATTCAAATGGTTTATCTTCTGAATGAACTCTTTTGTGTCTATATAAACTAGAACTCTGAGAAAACTTTTTATGACAAACATCACATTCAAATGGTTTATCTCCTGAATGAACTCTTTTGTGTCTATATAAACTAGAACTCTGAGAAAACTTTTTATGACAAACATCACATTCAAATTGTTTATCTTCTGAATGAACTTGTTTGTGTGCATATAAATTAGCACTATGTGAAAACTTTTTATGACAAACATCACATTCATATGGTTTATCTTCTGAATGAACGCTTTTGTGTTCATATAAAATAGAACTATATGAAAACCTTTTGTGACAAACATCACATTCAAATGGTTTATCTCCTGAATGAACTGTTTTGTGTCTATATAAATTAGAACTCTTAGAAAACTTTTTATGACAAACATCACATTCATATGGCTTATCTCCTGAATGAACTTTTTTATGTTCATTTAACCTAGAACTATACGAAAACCTTTTATGACAAACATCACATTCAAATGGTTTATCTCCTGAATGAACTGTTTTGTGTCTATATAAATAACAACTCTTAGAAAACTTTTTATGACAAACATCACATTCATATGGCTTATCTCCTGAATGAACTTTTTTATGTTCATTTAACCTAGAACTATCTGAAAACCTTTTATGGCAAGCATCACATTCAAGTGGCCTCTCCCCTACTTGAGCTTGTTTATTCTAGTTAGATCTTTGAAAAAACTGTTCATGACAATTATGAGGATCAACAGACAGATATGTTTCATCTTCAGGGAGTTTTAGCTTTTCTTCAAGTCCATTTTGTTGTTTGTCCTCAGAATCTAAAAATTTTGTCCATAAATCTGGTTTTAAATCTTTGTTGGTTGATAAAGTTTCTAATTCTGGTATTATATCTTCGCTAGTTGATAAAGTTTCTAATTCTCGTTTTAGATCTTCACTAGTTGATTTATTTTCTAATTCTGGATTTATATCTTCAGTAGTTGATAAAATTTCTAATTCTGTGTTGGTTGATAAAGTTTCTAATTCTGGTTTTATATCTTCAGATCTTGTACATACTGCTGATACAGCAGGTTCCATATCTTTAAAAATTAAAAATCCTGTTGTTTTATCTTGAGATGTTAGAAATGTCATATGGTGTTTTACATCATCAAAAGAGGAAAATGTTGTACATTCTGACTTTGTGTCTGTAGAAGATGAAAAATCTGGTGTAACAACGGTTTTATCATCCTGTGAAGCTATAAATGTCAAGTTTGGTTTGATATCACGGAAAGTTAAAAATGATAATTCTGTTTTTATGTCAGAAAAATATGAAAATACTGTAGATAGAAGTGGCTTCACATCTTCAGAATTTGAAAATTCTTTAAACTCATCAAACTGTAAATCTAAATCAGCAGTTGCCTCTCCCATGCTGCTTCTTATAAATAAACTGAGGATTAGATATTTAAATGTTAAAGTGGTGATTATATAGATCTAGAAACTATAGTCAAAACAAAGTTTTTTCAATAAAACTTCTCAGAAGCATATTAAAACATCTTAGAAATGAATTTAGATAGCTTAAAGTTAACACAATCAATAAACAATTTTAAAAATAAAATAATTAATGTATTGTATATGCCTAAGAGTGGCGGATTATGGTAGAAAATAAAATCAAACTTAATTTTTTTTTGTTTTATACAATATTTGTACAAAATTAACATGCCATGCTTTTTAAATTGACAGAAGGTAAGTATACCATGTTACAAAAACTGCAATCATAACAATTCATATTGAAAAGAAAAAAAACAATCATCAATGAGGAAAGCACAACGCTTTATGTTTTTAAAATATGGGGCGACATGACAAATAATAAATCTGGCCAAATGATTGGCTTTGGGCGCAGCACACATCTAAACGCGCCTTGTTTTTCACAAGATTATCATAAACTGGCATTAATGGGGAGGGGGGGGATGGTATATGACTGGCATAGTGACCACACCTAAGGACATGAGAATTATTCCCTAACCGTTGTTTAATCATACACGGCATAACATTAGAATCATAGTTTAGAGGTTTATTTGATTGTAAGATCATTTTAAAACAAGAATATACAAAGCTACTTTCACTAAAGTGTCGCTTGCGAGATAAATAAATTAGGTCAAAAGTACACCTTACTATTCTTAATTAACAGACTAAGGTAATCTATGGTTTTATGTACATAAAATCTGCAGAGGCTAGTAATGTTAAGAAGCCAGTAGTGATCTCCCCTAAGCTTTCTTGAATTTTCTTATATAACACTACGGGGGATTGGCAACTCGGGATATACAATATATAGACATGATTTTTAAATCCATGTTTAAGTACTTAAACTTTTTAAAATAGAATAGAATCTTGTAGAAAAAAGAATTGCGCACCAAGGAAACGCGAAACAAAATGTGTAAAATAGTGCGGAATATTATTAGTACTTTATATATTCACATGCATTTTTGAGAAATTGGAAATAGCCTCCATTACTACTTCTGGTCAACGGAAATTACTCTAAATTTGAAAGAAGGTGGAAAATTAGATCTTTTACTTACATATGAAATTTTATTTGGCTATCTGAAACAAAACTCAAGTTATAGGCTTTTGAAAAATTTAAAGTAGAATAAGTTCCACTTCCGGTTAATCAGAAATCGCTGAAAAGTTGATACAGAACTAGAAATTTGATATACTATTATACTTATATATGAAATTTTATCAACTGTACTCAAGTTATCGTGATCACAGACACACATACACTGAAAGAATTGCAAAGCCCAGTTTTTCAGACTCGATTATGCATAAAACATCAAAAATTTGATAAATGTGGGTTTATAATTTTTGCCAGATTAAAGTAAGTCTTCTATACTCCAAATGAAGGACTGAGGTGAAAAACTGTGAAAACCGTCACAATTTCATGTGATTTTTGTGCACTATCAGAATACTTTCTCTATACCCTGTGACTGTTGTATAGTGTATACGAGAAAGAAAAAAAGGGTGACGTATCAAATTTTTGTAATTAGTTTGCATTTTTAGAAGGATTCACATTTTGAAAGCTACAAAAATGTTACAAACTTTTATTGATGTGCGTGTTTTAAAACATCAGTAGTAAAACTTTTCAGTAATAAATAAAGATTAACGATGTTTTTACTTGATGCAACCAAGCTCATTTACTAAAGCAGCCATCTTGTTTAAGCTAGAGATTCAAGGGAAACCACCCTAATTTACAGTTGGCCGCTGTTTATATAGCAAATCTTGCTCGCAAAATAGGCTGTTTTAAGTTAATTTCTGGCTTATATTGATAATATATTTAGACACTGATTTTGGTTTATTATTCAATTATCTATTACTATTATATTTGACACAAAACTATTAGTATTAATCGCTACCTTGGAGGTGTGTATCGTTGCTAACATCAATATGATGTCCACACCAGATGCATGACTTTCAAAGATTTTTCATCTTAGCTCCAGTGACCTTCTTACAATTAGTTTTTAAAACGTTTACCAAGAGCAAAAATGTTGGTTTTTCACGGTATACAAACAAGCTATAGGTGGCAGGGCAAAATATGCCAGAAAAACATTTTAAAATTTGCTTTGGAGAAGGAAGGTATATTTAAAAGTTGGTACCATTAAAAATGATAGAACTTTTAAAATATTAGCCCGGGAAGTAGAAAAATGAATTGAAGATTGAAGAACTATTAGGTTTATCAGTCTATTAAAAAATATATCCAATATATACATATATATATATATATATATATATATATATATATATATATATATATATATATATATATCCAATATATAATACAACATAATTAGTTTAAAATGTTAGTACAATCTCTAGGCCTACCCCCATGCATGTAAACCACAATACAAACAACTCTGTAGTGGCAGTGGTCACTTTTTCTACTGTTGGTAATACATAAATGTGTAGAAATATCTAAGAATTTTTTTTTAGCAGGCCTGAACTATAACAAGTGGTAGGCGTACAACACAAATGTACACTGTCGTATGCCTGCTTTTACAACATACCCAGGTATATGGCTAATTTCCACATCAAAATCTAAAACCTTATGTTGCACCATTTCACCACCAATATCCCCCACCTTGATATGCGCGATGACATAAAAAAAAATATTGTGGAAATTCGTAAGTAACATCGCAGGATTACAGAAACGTTTTTACTAAGAAATCACTTCAGAAGTGGGGTTGGTGTGGTCGAGTCGGTAAAGCTCATGGTTGCTAAACCGATATGTCTCGAGTTTGAACACTCGGGCAGATGAGGCTCGTTAGCAGAGGACAGCCACTCTTCTAGGAGAGACTAGTCCAAAATCAAACAACTTCTGCCTTGTAGTTTGTTCTTGGGTGGACAAAAGCTATGGAAGCAAATCCTAGAAAGAAAAGCAGGAAGAAATCTGAGTCAATGGCCTCAATGGCGCATAACCAGTTGACATGTATATTTCATTATGAAGAAGAAGATTTCAGAAGTAACTATGCTAATACTAATGTCAGAGATGTAGCGCCCCACCTCCCCCCAAAGCAAATAGCTGATTTTTTTTACAAGTGGTGGGAGGAGAAAATAGGATGAGTGCAGTGACAGCAGCAATTTTCACAAACACTGCATTTCAAGGTTTTTTAAAAATTTCAAGGACTTTTTACAACTGTTAAAAAACAACTATAGATAGATCGTGTAAAAAAAATTATAGCAGGCCTACATATTTTGTTTGAAGACCCAAAACCAGACACGTTTTTTCAAAATTTTGCTTAACAGTAAAGTGACTTTCTTAGAATTTGGTTTTTAAAAAATGATTATCACGTGAAAAATGGCAGATTTTAAGCGTATTTTTATGCTACCTGAAGATGACAAAGCTATTTTTGCCAGAAAAAAATTTAATTAGCTTCCAACAATGAAGGTCAAACATAAACATGGGTAAAGTTTTAAGTTGCTTAAAAACTTAAAATATCTATCTGTAAGGTTCCAAACTTGCACTGTTAGGTAGGGTATTATTAGATTGATCTGTTTCTGAATTAAAACTGTAAATATTCTGTACTCATTTTGAGAAAAAAATCACCCACATGTCACGTAAACAATATTTTTTTGTGAGGGACGTTATTGCTATCCTCTGTCACTGCTTAAGTAAGTTTTCTTTTTACTTGACACTTTTTTTTTACCTATTTTGCTAGCGTAATTAGGCTAATTAAGTCTCAGTATGGATCTTTCACCTGGCTTTTTTATTATACTATGACTCTAAAAGCCCCTAAACCACAACGATCTATTATTGTTTTTTAATTTGTGTTAATCCCTAAAATTATTGCGAGTTGGCCTTTGTGTGCTTATTTATGCCTAATTATTTGTTGTTTTCAAATGTGTTATAAGGGGGTCGGCGTGGTAGAGTCGGTAAAGCTCATGGTTGCTAAACCGAAAAGTCTCGAGTTCGAACCCTCAGGCAGATAAGGCTCCAAAATTAAACACTGCTGCCTTGTACTTTGTTCTTGGTTGGACAAAGGCTATGGAAGCAAATCCAAAAAGAAAAGCAGGCTGAAATCGGAGTCAATGGCCTCAATGGCGCATAACCAGTTGACACGTAACGCTTAATTGTGTTGGAGGCGTGGTCGAGTCGGCAAAAAGTTCATGGTTGATAAATTCGAACAAAGTCTCGAGTACAAACCCACTGGCAGATAAATCTCGATCCCCTTCAACACTAATAATTAAGGACGAAGAAGAAGAAGAAGAAAAATGTGTTATAGCTTAATTAATTTTTGTTAATTCTTATTGATTTCATAGATTTTAATTAGTTTAAGTTTAATATAATATTATTCTCACTGTTCTTTGTTGATATACTTTTATTAGGCTAAATAATGTTTATATTATTAAGATTTAAGAGGTCTGAAAAATTAAATGATTTTAGTGTTGGGTCTAGGCTTACATTACTAATTAGAATTATTAATTAGAACTTGGGCTAACAAAGTACTTGGACTAGATTTGGAACACGCTCATACTGTGCTTTGAGTTTTCTCTCACCGGTTTACAAAAGAACACAGGTGGGCTGCAATGTTTGTAATTTGCCTATATCTTTCGGTCACAGGCGATCATTTTAATGTGATAGGCCTCTTAATTTTATAGGCCTGATGAATTGTATTTGATAGGTTAACTTTTCTAGTTGACAAAACTACTTGAGTGAGCATCTGTCTGTCACTACGCAAGCGAGATGCCTGTCATGGGCACTGCCAGTGATGCTGTTTAGAATGCGTTTCTCGATAACTTGATCAATTTTAATGTGATTACAGTTAAAAAAAATAGATACAAATCTTAACAATATTTTAAACTCAGCATGGACAAAGCTTTGTAAATAACACACAGGTTTCAAGTCCAGTAAGGGAGGAGGGATAGATTCATTTTACAATGACATAGCTATCATTTATAAATTGCCCTGATTAAACATTACTAAAACACACTAATTAAGCCTAATCAAAACTGAAATAAACATGCATATGAATATCTTTTAAAAGTTTAGATCTAGATCTATATTATATATTCTTAAACATTTAAAACGTGATTATTTTTGGATCATTCATTAGCCTATATTAAAAAAATAGTAAATATGTTACATGACATAACCAAGTTACGAGCATCCTTTCAATTATGTTTTATTGACACATACCGACACTCCACCCTCCCCTCACTTGATCCTTACTAACTTCCAAGGTCCCTCTCCTGTCAATTTTGTGGACCAGATCTAAGAATGATTGTCACGGAAAAAGCTGTCCCAGCTAAGCTAAAAAGCACCAATAATTAAAATCCTGTATTTTAGCCCCAAATTTACAAATTAGCTAAAACCATCAAATGTAGTTAGTAGTTAGAGATAGGGTAAAGGAGGGCGTTACGAGCCGTGTGGTATTAAGCCCCAAACAACACCCCACCCCCACAAAATCCCCAATAACACTGCTAATCTACTTCTTAGGTAACAACCACTGCTGTTCTTTGATAACAGAGCAGCAGAGGATTCATTTTATGTAATTTATGACCCACTTGGTCCAATAGGGAGAGGATGAGACAGGATTTAATCCCACTGCTCTTTCCCTAAAATTTCTCATCTCCATAAAACCGTTTTGTGAACTTTTTTTTCCAAATAGACATAACTTGGGAAACTTCACTTTGTAATAAACCAAATGAGTTTTTCAAGCCCATTTTTTGTTCCTGTATTAGAGCATTGGTTGTTGTACATTTTAACACTATTTTTATAGCTATGGCTAGAATAGTTTTATTTTGGTGAATTTTTTTTGCACAGTGATTATTGGTGCCAAAACAAAATGGCCGACATTTGTCCCATTTTACCATGCTATAAAGTTTTTATCATTATCAGAGTAAAACTTGACTGATCATTACCATAATGGTTTTATTTGTTAGATAATAACTAAATCTACATGAATACATTAATTTTGTCCACTAGCTTGCCTGTTAAGAAAAGTTATAACAGATACTGTTATGTGGCTCTTGATACCCTATGTGCAAGTTTCTCATTGATTAGACCCAGTAGCGTACGCAGGGGGGGAGCAGGGGGAGCGGCCGCTCCCCCTCTGGCCATTTTCATCAAAGTGGCGCCTTTTTGGAAACTTTTTAAACTCAAAGTTTTAAACAATGATATTTGTTAAAAAAATATTTTTGGTCGGCACATCTATGTAAATCACAAGATTTCTTTTCATGCAGCAATTAAGCATTATTGTACTAGTCTAGTAGTGTCTACGTTTACAACACGTATTAACAGCTGCATCAGTTTGCCATTCTAAAAATAATCATTACGATGCATTGCAATGTTTAAAAAACCTCTACGGGTAGTACCACTTGGCAAGAGGGGTGTTAAATTTAAGGCAACTGTATAATGTATTTGCTTACGAATAATTGAATTAGAAAATGTTATTCTTACAGTTTGGGCGATAATGATTACGATTACAAATTATATGAAACAGTTACAACCCTCGACCACCATAGCCCCTTTGTAAAAAAAAATATTGTCATAATACCACTGCTACTTATTTAAATATATTTCTGTAATATTTATTTGTGTAATATATATTTGTGTAATATATAGGTATGTTAAGAACAGTCATCTAAAAACTGACGCTATGTTCACTCTGAGTTGGTTATTCCCCCCCCCCCACCCCCCACCCCCACACACCTCACCACCACAATTGTGTAGAGCGACATTAATGTCACACTGGGTTGGATAATTGACCTAAAGTGACCGGACAGTGGTGAATGAAGTTGAACCCACCACCCCCCCCCCCACACACACACACACAACCCACCCCGAACTGATCTGTTAAGTAGGCTACATGTAGAAAAACGCGTATTATGTAACAAAGTACCATGCCGCCAGAAAATTAACTTTTTAAACGTAAAACTCTGTGAATATTGTTTTTGCAAATACCAGTAAAAAGGTGTGAGCAATACAGTGATCTAACCCATACCTATCACTATGTTAAAAAATAATCTTTAAAGAACACAAAGAAGCAGTAGTTATTTAAAAATATATGATCTGAACTAAAAAGACCATATTGTAGTTAAATGTAGGCTGTTATTCCGAGTAATTTTATATTAGATGGAATAGCATGGTTTTATACCAACTCTGATTTTAAAAACTTTCATTATGCTGTAATACTTTAGCATTTATGATGACGATATATTAAATTATGATTACAGACAAAAAAATTTTTTAAACACGAATAGTGTTAAACAATTTTATTATATTCTCAAGTAATTATTTATTTGTTTTGACATTTATAATTAAATGTTTAGATATATACATATTTATATTAAGAGAGTGATTATTTCCCCTTTTTCACTTGTCTTAAATAATTTCCCAGGAATTATTATGTAAGAATTTTTTTTACAAGAATTACAAAACAGATTGCGTTACGTTCATTGTTTTTGGTTGTAGTGTATATATATATATATATATATATATATATATATATATATATATATATATATATATATATATATATATATATATATATATATATATATATATGTTTAGATTTTTGTTTTGTCGGCCTACATTGTGTGTTTTTTTTTTTATTTCTTTAAAGTGCTACTTTCAATTTATTTTACATCATAGCGAAGTGATAACATACAGCTAGTAATTTTATATATATATATATATATATATATATATATATATATATATATATATATATATATATATATATATATATATATATATATATATATATATATATAACACGTATATAGAACGTGTTGAAAATTCGGCGCCTTTTTTTGCTCTTTTCGCTCCCCCTACTTCGAAAACCTGGATACGCCTCTGATTAGACCACTGAATATGACACTGGTTTAGGACCACGCCTCCAACACAATTAAGCGTTACGTGTCAACTGGTTATGCGCCATTGAGGCCATTGACTCCAATTTCAGCCTGCTTTTCTTTTTGGATTTGCTTCCATAGCCTTTCTCCAACCAAGAACAAACTACAAGGCAGCAGTTTAATTTTGGAGTTGTCTCTCCTAGAAGAGTGGCTGTCCCCAGCTAACGAGCCTCATCTGCCCGGGGGTTCGAACTAGACCATTTGTACATGTTTTTTGGGGTTAGGATGAATAGGATGGTCTATCTATAGAACGTGCACTTGCAATCGCGGATTTTTCGAGTTCGCTATTCGGCACCCTGGACCGAACTGCCGCTCATAACGAACCAGGTGCATCTGAGAAGTAGGCAAAAGACTGGCAAAACCCACGGACCATGCGGGTTACAATACAAGATACGAGATTCTTCAAAGTTTTTCCAGACTGCCTAGCTTAAGAATGATGCAGGAGTAGGCGATGGCCGTGCTAGAAATAGATAATTTGTCGTGAACGCGAGATGGCTAGTTGAAGATACTTTTTTTCTAAAATGGTGAAATAGCTTATTTATTTTTTAATTTAATTTTTTTTGTAAAAATTGCCCTGAGCTTTAACCGTCTTAAGATATTTGAATTGATACTATGAAAAACAATAACTTTTTTTCTTGATAAAAAAAATATGCTGCGTTCCCTTCAAAATACAAGTAAAATGAATTGTTCTTATGTTATTACTTTTTAAATAAACCGAGAGTGATCTCCCCTAAACTTTCTCGAATATTCTTATGTAAAATAAACCGGGAGTGATCTCCCCTAAACTTTCTCGAATATTCTTATATAAAAAACAAGGGATGGGAACTCGGGATATAGACATGAATTTTAATCCATTTTAAAAATTAAAACTTTTTAAAAATAGAATAAAATCTCGTAGAAAAAAGAATTGCACACCAGTGAACGCCAAATAAAATGTGCTTAATATGCGGAATATTATTAGTACTTTATAAATTTACATTAATTTTTGAGAAATCGGAGATATCGCAAATTAGTACTTTCGGTCAACGGAAATTACTCAAGATTTGACAGAAGGTAGAGAATTAGATCTTTTACTTACATGTTTAATTTCATTTATCTATCTAAAATAGTACTCAAGTTATAGGCTTTTGAAAAATTCAAAGTAAAAAAAGTACCACTTCCGGTTATCGGAAATCGCTCAAAAGTTGATACGGATCTACGATTTTGATAACATACTTATATATGAAATTTCATCAATCTAGCTGTAACGGTTCTCAAGTTATCGTGTTTACAGACACACAGACACACATACACACGAACAAGATTGCAAAATTATGTTTTTCCGTATCAGTGAGGTGTAAAATGTGGAGATTTTTGCACGATTACAAGCCAATCTTTTATTTAATTAATTCAGCTGCCCTACGCCGTCGCCGGTAAAACAACAGCGGAAACAGTCTTACGTCACTTCAGACAGGAAACCGGCCTACGTCACATCCGACACGATTTCTCTGAGCAGCCGATCGAGGCAGACGGCGCGGCGAGGCAGCATGTCCAGCCAGTGCAGCAGTGTGGCCACGGAGAGCTGCTTTAGTCGCATCACCAGCATAGACGAGGGGGAGGAGGAGCGGATCTTGTCCAGCGATCTCTTCGCTTTCTGCCTTCAGGTGGCGCGGGGTATGGGGCATCTGGCTGAGAACAAGGTGATAACAGGTGGGGACAGGTACAGGTGGTGGTGGTGGGGACAGGTGGTGGTGGGGACAGGTACAGGTGGTGGAGGGGCTAGGGATGGGTGGTAAATACAGGTGGCGCGGGGTATGGGGCATCTGGCTGAGAACTGGTGGGGACAGGTGGTGGTGGGGACAGGCGGGGCTAGGGGTATGGGGCATCTGGCTGAGAACAGGTGGGGACAGGTACAGGTGGTGGTGGTGGGGACAGGTGGTTGTGGGGACAGGTACAGGTGGTGGAGGGGGTGGGGTATGGGGCATCTGGCTGAGAACAAGGTGAGAACAGGTGGGGACAGGTACAGGTGGTGGTGGTGGGGACAGGTACAGGTGGTGGAGGGGGTGGGGTATGGGGCATCTGGCTGAGAACAAGGTGAGAACAGGTGGGGACAGGTACAGGTGGTGGTGGTGGGGACAGGCGGGGCTAGGGATATGGGGCATCTGGCTGAGAACAAGGTGAGAACAGGTGGGGACAGGTACAGGTGGTGGTGGTGGGGACAGGTACAGGTGGTGGAGGGGCTAGGGTGGGTGGTAAATACAGGTGGCGCGTGGTATGGGGCATCTGGCTGAGAACAAGGTGATAACAGGTGGGGACAGGTACAGATGGTGGTGGTGGGGACAGGTACAGGTGGTGGAGGGGCTAGGGGTGGGTGGTAAATACAGGTGGCGTAGGGTATGGGGCATCTGGCTGAGAACAGGTGGGGACAGGTACAGGTGGTGGTGGGGACAGGTACAGGTGGTGGTGGGGCTAGGGGTGGGTTGGTAGATACAAGTGGGGCGGGGTATGGGGCATCTGGCTGAGAACAAGGTGAGAACAGGTGGGGACAGGTACGGGTGGTGGTGGTGGGCGGTGGGGACAGGTACAGGTGGTGGTGGGGACAGGTGGGGCAAAGAGTGGGGAGATAGGTACAGTTGGGGATAGGGGTGGGGACAGATGAGGCAAGGGGTGCGATGGTACGTGGGGACAGGTGGGGGCTGGCGATTGTGTGGTTCGTAGGGGTATAGGAGCATTCAGCGTAGACCATTTAATAGGACATCTAGGCTGTAATATAGTGAGAATTGTGAAGTCAAGGGAACTCACTCTTCTTGTATTAGTATTATATTTATACTGTTATCTTGAGTGATGTCCCTTATATGTATATATATTTTTGTGTCTCGTGACTTCCGCCCTCTCTCGTTTCCATCATGTAGTTGAGGCCAATAAACGTTTTATATACAATCCCATGCTTTTATCGTCAATCTATTACATCTGGCGACGAGGATGGGATGGGATGGGCGACGCTGTCACAGGAGGATCAGTGCCTCTACAACCATGTCACAAGTGTCTAACATCATACACTGGTGACAATGATCCGGTGATAGGAGAGTGTATGGTTCATGTAAGCTATAATGGTCAAAGTGTTAAACTTCCTCTACTTGTGGTTGAAGGAAATGGACCACCATTACTAGGTAGGAACTGGTTAGTTGATCTTAAGTTAAATTGGGAGAGTATATTTTCAGTGATCAAAGCAAGAGAATCTAGTTTTACTTCAATAGATAAAGTTATATCTGAAAATGAAAGTGTTTTTGGTAATTCAGGATTACTAAATGATAGAACAGTGAAGATAAGCATTAAAGACACAAATCCAAGATACTGCAAAGCTAGAGTTCCACCTTATGCAATGAGGAATAAAATTGAAAATGAGCTAAGTAGATTGGAATCTAATGGCATCATAAAGAAGGTAGACTATTCCGATTGGGCAACGCCCATTGTGCCAGTGTTAAAGAAGGATGGTTCTGTAAGAATTTGTGGAGACTATAAAGCCACACTGAATAAGCAAATAGAGCTAAATAGGTACCCTATTCCTAACATTGAGGAAATTTCTTTGAATTTGGCAGGAGGAGACAAATTCACTGAATTAGACTTTAGTCATGCTTACACTCAACTAGAACTGCATCCAGATTCAAAAGTCTATACGACAATAAACACACATAAAGGACTCTACCAATATGAAAGACTATGTTTTGGTATATCATCCAGCCCTGGAATTTTCCAAGCTGTCATGGACAGTATTTTTAAGGATATTCCAAATGTTTGTGTTTACTTTGACAATGTGTACATAACTGGTAAGAATGACACTGAACATCTTAAAACACTTGATAAAGTCTTGAAAATAGTTGGTAAAAAGGTTTAAAGATAAACAAAGATAAATGTCAATTCATGCTGCAGAAATTAGTTTTCTTGGTTATATATTAAGCAAGCAAGGTCTCAGACCTCAACCTGAGAAAACAAAAGCCATTAAAGAAGCACCCAAACCTGAAAATACCCAACAACTAAGAGCTTTTTTGGGCTTGATAAATTACTATGCAAAGTTCATAGGGAATCTGTCTGGTAAACTATCACCACTGTACAAGCTGCTGCAGAAAAATGCAACTTGGCACTGGGGTAAACAACAAGATACTGCTTTTAATGCAGCAAAAGAAGCTTTGTCTTCTGACACCTTACTAACTCACTATGACCCAGGGAAAAGACTTATATTAACATGTGATGCTTCACCAGATGGTGTAGGAGCAGTCTTGTCCCACATGGATGAAAAGGGTGACAGACCCATTGCTTTTGCCAGTAGATCTTTGAACCAGGCTGAGAAAAATTATTCTCAGTTAGATAGGGAAGGCTTAGGCATCATTTTTGGTGTTAAGAAATTTCATAAGTTTCTGTTTGGTAGGAAGTTCACCATCTTTACAGATCATAAACCATTGCTAGGTTTATTTGGAGAAAACAAAACCCTACCTGAGCATGCCTCACCAAGAATTCAAAGATGGGCTATCACACTAACTGCATACAATTATGAATTGAAATACAAACCTGGATCTGAGAATAGTGCAGATAGTCTTAGTCGATTACCTTTAAAAAACCAAAGCCTTATCTATGTACCAGAAGATGTATTTGTTCTTTTCACTATCATGGATAACTCCAATAAGAATGTGAATGATGTTAATGTGAATGATGTTAAAAGAGAAACACAAAAAGATGAGTGCTTAATAAAAGTATATGAGTACTGTAAGAATGGTTGGCCTGAAGAGTCTGTGAATGATGACTTAAGGCCATATAAAATAAGAAAAATGGAATTAAGTCTAAACGATGGAGAAGGTGCAGTCCATTATCAGTCAGAGTTACCTAAACAAAGTATTTGTAACTTAATAAATGATTATGGTGATATGGCAATTCCAAATGCTTTTAAAAGAGAATACATTAGTAAGAAGGAATGTGATCATCAAACAACTTTGCTAACATCATTAGCACTTACAGAAACTAAAAGGATAACATCAAAAGAAAAAAGATTTTTGCCATTTAATACACCCACTTCAGATACTGGATCACAGTTGCAGATTGATATGGTCCATGATAGTACTTTTAAACAGTATTTTTGGTCATCAAAAAGCACTATCAGATTACCTGAGAAAATTGATCAATCAAAGAAATCTATGTCAGTTAAGGATCTGAATAACAGCATAATACTTTCAGATGCCAATTCAAAAATAGTTCCATTAAATCATGACAAAACATCCATTGAAAGAGAATTTGGTGTTAATGAGAATGTGTATCTGAGAATTTATGGGAGAAAGGAAAAATGGATACCAGGTCAAATTGTTCAATGTACAGGACCTGTGTCTTATAAAGTAAAAACAAATGATGGACTTATTGTCCGTAGACATGCAGACCAGTTAAAAATAACTTGTGCGGATAATAAGTGTGAATCTATCAATCCCACCAAATCTGATCAGTTCACACCAACTCAGTTTGTTCCACAACCAAGTTCTTTTGATATGAGTGAACCAAGTTGTCTAGAGTCAGAAAATGTAAATTCTGGAATTAATGATTTAAATCCTAGACTTCCTGAGATAGAGAAGCCATAAGGTCAGAATCTTGAGTCACCAAATCAAAAGCCACTGAGAAGGTCAAGCAGGACAATCAAAGTCCCAAATAAGTTAGACCTATGATTTTAAAGGTCAAAAGGACTTTGACATCATTGTTTTGTATTTTAATTATGTTGTAACATATTGTGCATTGTTTGTAAGGATGTAATCTACCATAATGTTCATGTTACAATATATTTGATGATTTTAGGATACTGTAAATTGTTCTTCTATTGAGAGATGTGTTGTGTTTACTAAGGGTAAAGGGATGTAATATAGTGAGCATTGTGAAGTCAAGGGAACTCACTCTTCTTGTATTAGTATTATATTTATACTGTTATCTTGAGTGATGTCCCTTATATGTATATATATTTTTGTGTCTCGTGACTTCCGCCCTCTCTCTCGTTTCCATCATGTAGTTGAGGCCAATAAACGTTTTATATACAATCCCATGCTTCTATCGTCAATCTATTACATAGGCTAGACATTAAAACGATAATACGTTGGGATCGAAAAGGACATTGATGGAATTTATTTAAGACGCAAAAGGACAATTAGTTGTGAAAAAATGGAAATTTTATTTAGACAGTAAAAGGACAATTATTTGCGTCTAAGAAACCAAATCAAGACAACAAAAGGACAAATATTTTTGAGAAAAACTGTTTATAAAAATGGGAAATAACTCCAGTTGACTTTTTTCTTTGACCAGATTGTCCACAGAGATCTGGCAGCTCGCAATGTGTTGGTCACTGACAGGTGCGTGTGCAAGATCACAGACTTCGGGCTGGCTCGATGTCTGGGGGACACTGACCACTACGACAGGTCGTCGAAGGTTCGTGAACTGGTTAAATTATGGTTAAATCGTCGAAGGTTCGTGAATTGGTTGCTAAACCGAAACGTCTCGAGTTCGAACCCACGGGCAGATGAGGCTCGTTAGCTGGGGACAGCCACTCTTCTAGGAGAGACAACTCCAAAATCAAACAACTGCTGCCTTGTAGTTTGTTCTTGGTTGGACAAAGGCTATGGAAGCAAATCCAAAAAGAAAAGCAGGCTGAAATCGGAGTCAATGGCCTCAATGGCGCATAACCAGTTGACACGTAACGCTTAATTGTGTTGGAGGCGTGGTCGAGTCAGGCAAAAAGCTCATGGTTGATAAATTCGAACAAAAGTCTTGAGTTCAAACCCACTGGCAGATAAATCTCGATCCCCTTCAACACTAATAATTAAGAACGAAGAAGAAGAAGAAGAAGAAGAGGTTAAATTATGGTTAAATAGTCAAAGGTTCGTGAGTTGGTTAAATTATGGTTAAATAGTCAAAGGTTCGTGAGTTGGTTAAATTATGGTTAAATAGTTGGCTCGATGTCTGGGGGACACTGACCACTATGACAGATCGTCGAAGGTTCGTGAATTGGTTAAATTATGGTTAAATAGTCAAAGGTTCGTGAATTGATTAAATTATGGTTAAATAGTCAAAGGTTTGTAAAATCCATTGGTTAAATTATGGTTAAATCGTCGAAGGTTCGTGAATTGGTTAAATTATGGTTCAATCGTCGAAGGCTCGTAAACTCCATTGGTTAAATTATGGTTAGATCGTCAAAGGTTCGTGAACTGCAATGGTTTAAGGTAAATTATGTTTTCAGTTATTCGTCGAAGGTTCACTAACTTCATTAGTTTGATTATTGTTTGATCGTCGGTTTTTTAACTTGTTTTACTTATAGTCGTGGAAGAAACTCCAAACTTGCTCTAGTTCAGTTGCCACATAATTTGGCCAGAAAATAATTGTTTTATCTGTAGAAAACAAGCATATGTCAATTTGGTGGCTTTAGCATTTGGTTAGAATATTTAAACTAAATATTATGTTTCAATGCATCCTATTGTGAGTTTGTGTGGCGACGTGGTCGAATGGTAGAGCGTTGGAGGCCAGCCCCAAAGTCTCGAGTTCGGTCCTGGTTTTGATTAATCCACCAAGCTCTGATGGGTACCAGACAATACGTTGGGCATAGTGCTGACCACGCCATCCCTTCATATGCCGAAGTCAAGAAACATGAACCCTAGTTCATCTACACAATGGATCGCTACGTCTAAAGAAAGTATTTTTTTACTTTCTTTATTGCTAGCTGGTGGCAAATCCCAATGCTGATTCACCTTGCTATGGCTTACATTATTAGGACTAGGACATTGATTCCTTTGTAGAATCTTCCAACTGTGTTTTATTCGATTCAAGCATTAATTTTCATACTTCGTTTTAGATTCGAACCCGTTACCGTTAAAGCGGCGTAGGTGAAGTAGATTATAACAGAAGTGGTAGGCGAATGATAAATCTAGTTTAAAACAAGTGTTTTTCTAAATTTGACAGGGCCCACTGCCGGTTAGATGGTTGGCACCAGAAAGTTTGATTGACAGAACACACAGCACCAAATCTGATGTCTGGGCCTGCGGCTTTCTTCTGTGGGAGATTGTTACGCTAGGTGAGTTCATAGGTTTACATTAGTAGGGGGGGGGGGCGGGGTTGGGGGGAGGTTTTATGTAGTGAAGGGGGTGAGTGTTGTTGTTACTTGGTACCCTATCCCGTTCGTCCTTGTTCAGTTCTCGTGCTGTGAGTTGTAATATTCCGGTTTGTACCAGTTTATGAAAGGGTATGTAAGGTGTATGAAAACGTGTGTGATGGCCTCAGTTTTGTCCAGGTCTCAAAGGTTAGTACAGGTTAGGTTTATACTAGTTTTTAGCCACTGTATCTTAGTTTACTAGCTTGTGTATTTTCTGTTTAAACTAGACTGTGTTAGGTGTAGATAGTGTATATAAATTCTTTTAGTTTCAACGAGCCTTTGTTTCAGTCTTGTTTTGTAACCCGTTTGTGGTTGTTTGTCTTATGTGTTGCGCTACGCATCGGATCTCCCGAATGGCATGTTCGTGTGTTCACAACAGTGTACTTTACGGTGTTGGAGGGGGGGGACTATCTTTGGGTGAGTCTATTGTTTTACTTTAGTTTGGTAGTAGGGGGCTACTGTATGGGTTTGGAGGGGGGGGGGGTGTAGATTGTAAATCTCGGCAAATTCATTAAGCAGGCGCATGTAACCTTCACCTTGAATGTCTTGCAACCAACAGTCTGATTGCAAACTATACACTTTTGTGTTGATAGATGGGGTCGGAGCGAACTTTCTAGATAGCAAACAAATACAACAAAATAACATTAGCTTCCTACAACATTGTGTCATGAAGAAGGGCTTCACAAAATGTGTACATTAATACTATTATATTAATGTGAGCGGCTGGAGTGTGTTTATCTGTTATTATAATTATTTGTAACTAAGAAGGCGAATGTCGCTTTTTATGTTCCTTTGAGGATTGTTGTGGTTTTTAGTTAAGTAGTCCGCTATTATGGATTTTGATTTTACAATGGTTTGTAGCCTGGTTATTGTGTCTTGTTTATATTTTAGTGTTATTATTTATGCAAACTTTGTTTTGGATTGTTGCTCCACTTTGCTTTATGTCCTGAATGTTACTTATTATTGTATTAGGGACTATTTTCTTGTGCGTAGCATTGGTTTCTTTGTTCGTAGTATTGGTTTCTTTGTTCGTGAATGTGGTGTGTCGACATGGAGGGACATTCTGCTGGAATGTCGAGGCCTGTGTGTTGAAGAGTTTCTGTGTCACGTTTATGTGGTGTATGGTAACGTAGGGTTATTTTTATAGTGTTTTATTATGTTTTCCATATTTTTGTTTGCTGATTTTGTATACAAAGTGACTATATACTAGATCTATTTAGTCACTTCAACTTTGAGAAGTTTCAATGTTTGTTTTATCCAGACCACGTGGTAGCACGATGGCCTGGGTTTAGTCATGGATTATTGTAGATTTTACTTTCATTTATGAGAGCCTCTTGTTTAGGCTGACAATTGTGTCAGCTTACTGTCTTGTGTATAACTTTTTTTACATTTTAAATTGATTTGTCTTATTTTTCCTCTTTCTAGGACGGTGGTCCGAAATTGGGTGTTTTGTTCTGTTGAGTTCTGTTTCTGTTTTTTATGTCTCCAGTGTTCTGTTTTACCTAAATTCTAGTTTGTTTATAACTTTTGGTTCCATATTTATTATTTTGTTAAATAAAGTTTATTATATTGTTTAAGTTTTTGTTTTATTTTTAGTAGTTTTTAATTTAGACTAAGGTTAGGTTATTAACCAGTCTGGATTACCGGACTTGCACTGACCGGACAGTAGTTAGTTAGATAAGCCTAGAAGGGTAGATATTAGGTATCCCCCCCCCCCCTAGCAGGGCTTACAAATTGGTAGCACGAGTGGGGTCAGTGCTTTAGTCTAGTTAAATTTTTGTTTTTTGTTAGGACTAGGTTAGTTTAGATAATTTTTTTTTCTTGATAGGCCCTTTATGGAACCATTTGTGTTTAGTTTTTGTTTAGTGTAGGAACCGTTTGTTGTTTAAAACACCCAATTCGGACGAGATGGCGGCACCAACCATCATCATCGTTCCACCCAGGGAGATCCTAATCCGGAGGTTCCATGGGGACAGCCATGGCTATGAGGTGGACCGGTTCATCAAAGAGGTCCAGTCCCTCTGGAGGGCCAGGGGAAACCTCTCAGTAGAAGAGAGGAAGGACCTCCTCTGGCAGTACCTGGGGGAAGCGGTGAGAGAGGAGCTGAGCTGCAGGGGTGACGACCTGCAGCACGACCCCGAAGCCACCCTCAGGCTCCTCAGAGAGGTGTACGGCGAGAAGAGGAGAGTACCGCAGCTCATGGCCCAGTTTCAGATGGTTGTACAGGGCCAACACGAGTCGGTGAGGGCCTACTCGCACCGACTGCACAGGGCCTTCAAGACCCTGGTTACGAGGCAGAGTGCCCTGCAGGTCCCACAGACTGATGCAGGGTTTCTTCGAGACCAGTTTGTGGAAAACCTGAGCCAGGCCACAGTCAGACGCCATCTGCACGAGCTGATTTTCCGGGACCCTAAGATCCCCTTCCTGGCCATACGGGATGCGGCCATTCGATGGTCTGGAGACGAGGACCCTCTTGCTGAACCTGCCTACGTGGCAGCAATAAATGCCAGGCCAATGGAACAATGTTCGTTCAGGTCCAAGCTGGAGGACAAAGTCAACAGGCTCACAGAGCAGCTTGCTGCCCTGCTGAAGCACTTTACGCGGGACACCAAATTGTCCAATGTGCGCCAAGCACCTCGCAAGCGCATGGAGGTCCAATCAAAGGGCTGCTATAACTGTCACCAGAGGGGTCACCTCGCCCGTCATTGCCATATGGCAAAGAAATATGGGCCCAAAGGGAATCAAGTGACACCGAAGGTATGGCGAGGGGACAAGGTCCTACGCCCCTGCGAAAGGACTCTGGTGCCTGCCAAGAGTGTACCAACCATTCAGGCGACGGAAGGAGACCCCAGAATGAAGGACGACAAGGTGGTACAGCCATTAGACCAACCTTTTCACCCAGATCCGTCAGTGGTATCAGGCCCAACATCCTGCCTACGCGCCAGCATAACCAGTGTAAAGGTGGACCAATCTGAGGAACTAGAGGCAATGGTTCCACCTAACCCATCCTTAATTAAGGCACCGGGTGGTGGTGCTGGGGCATGCCCCCAGACAGAGTCAAGCAAGAAGGACAAACAGGTCAAAAAGGCACCTGTAGCTGAACTGGCCATAGGCGACCTGGTCCTTCTGAGACAACCCCCACTTGGCAGACGCAAAATAGCAGACCTGGACGGCCCGACAGTTTATGTCGTGGTCGAATTACCTCCGATCACCGGCGGGTGTTACGCCATTAAAAAGAAAGATGGCCCTTCTGGCACCCGCCGGGTGGCCAGCACACAGATTAGGAGATATGTGCCTCCCAGGGCTCAACCGCCCTCCCCAAGGCCGGTCAAAGTTGTACCGCCGGCTGCTACAGCCACGTCGTCTGATTTTTTTGCAAAATTTTGTTTTTTGTAAAATTTATGTTTGTGCCCTGTGTGCTGATTTTTTTGCAAGTTCTTTTGCAAAATGGTGTTTTGCAAAAATTGTGATTGTGCAAAGTTTTTGTATTTTTGTAACATTTATGATTATGCCCTGTGGGCTGATTTTTTTCAAGTTATTTAGCTTGCGGTGACCGCAAGCTTTAAGGGGCGTGTATGTGAGCGGCTGGAGTGTGTTTATCTGTTATTATAATTATTTGTAACTAAGAAGGCGAATGTCGCTTTTTATGTTCCTTTGAGGATTGTTGTGGTTTTTAGTTAAGTAGTCCGCTATTATGGCGCTGATATGATTTTGATTTTACAATGGTTTGTAGCCTGGTTATTGTGTCTTGTTTATATTTTAGTGTTATTATTTATGCAAACTTTGTTTTGGATTGTTGCTCCACTTTGCTTTATGTCCTGAATGTTACTTATTATTGTATTAGGGACTATTTTCTTGTGCGTAGCATTGGTTTCTTTGTTCGTAGTATTGGTTTCTTTGTTCGTGAATGTGGTGTGTCGACATGGAGGGACATTCTGCTGGAATGTCGAGGCCTGTGTGTTGAAGAGTTTCTGTGTCACGTTTATGTGGTGTATGGTAACGTAGGGTTATTTTTATAGTGTTTTATTATGTTTTCCATATTTTTGTTTGCTGATTTTGTATACAAAGTGACTATATACTAGATCTATTTAGTCACTTCAACTTTGAGAAGTTTCAATGTTTGTTTTATCCAGACCACGTGGTAGCACGATGGCCTGGGTTTAGTCATGGATTATTGTAGATTTTACTTTCATTTATGAGAGCCTCTTGTTTAGGCTGACAATTGTGTCAGCTTACTGTCTTGTGTATAACTTTTTTTACATTTTAAATTGATTTGTCTTATTTTTCCTCTTTCTAGGACGGTGGTCCGAAATTGGGTGTTTTGTTCTGTTGAGTTCTGTTTCTGTTTTGTATGTCTCCAGTGTTCTGTTTTACCTAAATTCTAGTTTGTTTATAACTTTTGGTTCCATATTTATTATTTTGTTAAATAAAGTTTATTATATTGTTTAAGTTTTTGTTTTATTTTTAGTAGTTTTTAATTTAGACTAAGGTTAGGTTATTAACCAGTCTGGGTTACCGGACTTGCACTGACCGGACAGTAGTTAGTTAGATAAGCCTAGAAGGGTAGATATTAGGTATCCCCCCCCTGGCAGGGCTTACATTAATACACGGGATACCGTGATGGGTCTGAATAGATCCGCCTTCAAGATAAAATAAACAGTACCTGTGATGTAAAAGATACTGGGTGAACCTGGCAATAGGGCTGGTAAGTAGGTCACCAACCAGTTATATGGCTCATGCAGGTTTTATTGAGCCGTAGAACTGGTTGGTGACTACTTACCAGCCCTATTTTGTTCCAAATGTCCACTCTATATTTTATTTTCTTGTACCACACCCACCCCACGCACCCCAGACCAAGTTGACAAAATATCGATCTAAAGAGTTTGATTGATTGATTTCAGGTGCCAGTCCTTACCCCGGGTTATCTGCCCATGACGCCTTCAAGTTTGTTAGCGCTGGCAAGAAAATGGAGAAACCTCAGCACTGCAGTTCTGACATGTACATAACTTTAATCCTAACCACACAATCGACAACACACACATCCACTTTGACAA